AACTGAAAAACATAGGAAATTCATAAATTCATCTTTGACCAAAAAGTGCTATAATGCTCGAGTGATAAAGAAGTGATAGAATGGTGATAAAGCGTGATACAATGACGATAAAGAAGTGATACAACAGTGATAAATGAGTGATACAAAGTGCTGATTGTATTTATCTTTAGTTTCTTGTTTTGTATTTAAATAATAGAATAAATATAAATATCATATCGGTACGGGTTTCCGTCGGGTTAGAAATATTGTTCTGTTAACCAAATCAAATATCTCGGTACGGATCAGATCGGAATAATTAAAATTAAAAAATAATTATTTAACCAACCAAACCGTCGGTATGGTACAGTCGATACGCGGATAATTCAAATGAGATGCGCACCCCTACCCTGCATAATGAGGTTTAAATATGCAAAGAGGGAGGAGGGGCCAGCCATTTTACCAATTTGAGATATGTTAGCAAATGCACAATTTCTATGTATAAGTAGGACAGACAACTTTATAAAGTAGGCCTGACCAAAACTGTAGAGCTTGGCCATGAAACTCAGAGTTGCTAACACCCACGTGCCCTGTTTATGTATGCAAAAGTTTCATGCACTGTCAGATTTGTTGCAGCAATGGGCAGGCATGACACAAACTAGTGGCAGCAAATCCATGTGTTTTTCTTCGTGAATGAGAGATGAAGAAGTTTTCTTGCTCTCCTTCTGTCTCAGTTTTGTTTAGGCATTTCATCGAGCACCTTACTCACTGCCAAAATATAGATAACAAGGAGTTTACAATTTAATTAGTAGAAAGAATGTTGAGTGAGGTATTGCCTTCACTCTCCCATGTATGGATCCCCGGGATATAATACAATACATCATGAATAATAATTCTTTTGTTGCGTTTACGTTATCATATTGTTACATACCATGATATTGTTCCTTAAAACTGTTGAGGATTTTCCACTATGGTCTTTGATTTGATTAGGTAAAGTTTGTATAGTCACGAGCCGAGTGCTCGAGTTTTGCAAAATGCCCAAAATGATAACTCGATGTAGTGTCCAGTTTCGTCAAAAATGTCAAGCCAGACCGCACCACATCCGACCCTAGTTACATGTCAATCCAGACCACACCACATCCAACCCTACTTACATGTCAAGCACATTACAAATTCTATCAACATTTGTAACATATCACTATTGTACTCATTAAATACACTTTTAAAAGAGTTCGATGACAAACTTGGGACAAAAAATAATATAAGAACCAAACTAAAACAACCCAAAAAATTCAGAAGGCAAAATTATAATTAACCTTATATTCAAATAGGATTTTGTTTTTGTTTTTGTTTTTGTATAATACAAGATAGTCTAAATTATACAATGGGGCGACAGTTTCTCACAATACAAGGTGTCATGGGGGTTCAAATTTGAGACCACTAATTTACAAGTTAAAATCATTTTTCACTGTGCTAGATCCGTTGCTATATTCAAAGATATAATTCGAATGATGAACAGCATATACTATACAAAAGCATTGAGCACTTAAAACTCATTGAATCCAATCCAAAGCATGTGTTTTTAGGTGGATGTAAATAGCGGGCCCACCCAAGTAGCCATTGTCAAGCTTCAACAATGAATAGAATAGTAAGCTCCTTTATAAAATATATAGCAATGCCAGGACGATATTTATGCCTGCATATCTTGAAAAGGTAAAGGTAGTGCCTTATCCGAGTCATGTCTATATGTACACGCTTGGGAGGACCCATGCACCTAACAAGCTAGCAAGTAATGTCTTATTTCAGTGATGGAGGATGCCATGCTTGCGTCTTGCATGGCCACTGCACCATATGTACGAGCTAGAGGCCATGGGATTAGAAAACCAACCCTGGCAAAGTAGGGTTTTTTAATTATTATTATTATTAACTTAATTGCATTCATGTCAATTATGTTGGATTTATATGAGTAAGTGTAATAATGAGAGTGGATCAAAAAGAGAGCACGCGTTTATTTTCCCTTCCCACTATTTGTTACAACCTTACATTCATGTTTTTTTTTTTTTTTTTTTTTTTTTTTTTTTTTTCTTTTTTTTGCTTTTAATTAAGAAAAAGAAAGGAGAAAAGTATGTTTGTGTGAAAATAAAATCTAGAGCAGATGAAAAATAAGCTCTCTTTAAAACCTAGCCTCCGTTCTCTCTCTTAAACCTTTTTCGTTGTGTTCTGGGGAGGGGGAGGGGGAAGATGCCACTCCTCATCCTCTCTCCGTCTCTCTCTTTTCCTGACCTCCCCACTTATTTTCCACTTTCTCATCTACTGGATTTGAGGTTTTAATCGTGGAGGAGGTTACTTGTGTTTAGTTCTGCTTGGATTTGTGTTTTTGTTGGTTGGTGTTTTAGTTGTAAGGTGATTGGCTGCAATCTCGGTAGTGTTCTTTGTCTCGAAGACGGGGACGACGTCTGTGGTGGCAGTGACAACAACGGCAGTAGTGGCTCTTTTGGTTTTTGGTTGTTTGTTTGCAGTTTTCTTACTTTGTAATAATTACATCAACTCTTTGTGAGTTGACTTGTATTTTGTACTCGTGAGAGTTAAAAGTTGTAATTGTATTGGTAGATTTGGGCGCCGTGATTCATGTTTGATTCATTCAGGCATGGTCTTTGTGCCTAATTTATTAATACAATTATCATTTTTCTCTTAAAAATCTAGAACAGATGTGCTTCCCACTATGCACTCAAATTTGAATTCTCATTCCCGTAGTTTAGATTAGTTTAAAATAGAATATCACTAATATATATATAAAAAAATCTCAAATATATAGACTTGAAAATTAAGAATAATATGGTAAACCTAAAACAACATCTTTTTAGGCATAAACACAATAAAACCAAAAAACCAAAAGTAGAAGATCCTGTTTTTGTTATCCTCGGTTTTTGAGTATGAGATAAATTCCAATAAATTGGTGCATTGCAGAGCTTCTAGAGTTTAGATCCCACTTCTATAGAGAAGAAGACAATAATTATTAATTAGTTGTTTGTTATTGGCATTGGCATAAACGTTGGTTCCACCACTTTGGCAATGCGACCACAACATCCAGACAGACAAGACACACCCAGACAAACCCCTTTTCGACGCAGCCTTTAACCGACGTAAACGCACGAGCAATAAATAATTATGAGTAATTAAATTATAAAAGTTTTCTTAGTTCACAAAGAGAAACACCTTTGTGTTTTTTTTTGGACGAAAGGAGAAACACCTTTTGTTATGTTTTATATGTCCGAATTCCCTTATTTCGTGAATAAAAAATAACATAAGAGCATCTTTAATGGAGATGTCAAATACCAATTATCAAATTTCAATTTGATAATTGATATGACAGTTTGATATTTACACAGTTTTACACTCCACATGATATATCAAATTAAATTATTATTTTATTACATTTTAGTGTTGATTTAAATTGGAAAGAGAAAGAAGGAAAAAAATTTGTAACAGTAAAATCATTCAAGATAAAGAAAAAATAAATAAATGAAAGTAAAAGCCAGTTGTCTTTAAAAAATAATAAAATATTCATTTGACATATTGCTTTTGGGATGTCAAAAGTAACGGCTGAACCTCTAGCCTTAATTCCACATCAGTTTTGGCAATTCGGTTGGAGTGATATGAGATGGTATTTCTAGCCATTAAATATTTATGTGGCACTTTTTACATATCGGTTGAAGATGCTCTAAGAGTATGAAATTTGATTGTCCTAATCTTAACTTTATAGCTCAACATGATTGATTGAACATATCAAGTTAGGATAAGCCTTATACATGATAACAAAATGACCTAACTTAATTTCTGATTTCTTTTGATACAATGGAAATTGATACACGGTGTGAAAACTCGTGAGCACTTGAACTACAAGTTCATTGTACCGCAGTAATTAGAGCATCTCTAATAGTAGTAGCAAATTAAACTATTCAAATTAAAGTTTGTTGACCTATGTGGCAATTTGAAAAGGTTTATTTAATATTTAAATATTTTTTGCTCCAACCTTAAATAATTTTTGCTCCAACTGACTCTTTAATTATCAAGCAATGCAATATCATGAAAAATATGAAAACATGTGAAAAATGTCTATATATTTATAATTTGAAAATAAAAAATGCATTTTTTAACATTTTCAAGGTAAGTTTTGTTTTTCCAAAGTAAATTTTTTGAAGAGTCAATGTCAACTTATTAGTTATGAAGAGAGAGAAATAGATTGAAGTTTTGATGATTGACTTTGACAAGACTCTTGGAGAGACTTTTTATGATGTGGCTCACCTATTTTATCATCACAAAGTTGTTGAAGAGACTATAGCATCTTTAATAGCCCCTCTTCAACAAGTTTGTAATGCTAAAATAGGCGAGTCACATTGCCAAAATTCCCTCCAACAGATATATCAAACTCAGTTAACAAAGCTACAACCCTTTTGTCTCTATTCATGATTGATTAGTTGACATATGCTCTTCAAAACATTTAATTTTGCTTTGAAAAAATAAAATTTACATTGAAAATGATAAAAACATACACTTTTTCTTTTCAAAAAATAGACATGCTTCAAATATTTTTGTATTTTTCATTTTTCAATAACATTGCACTAATTAAATTGAAAAGTTTGTTGAATTTACAAATTATAAAAGTAGCAAACAAACTTTTTCAAATTGCCACCCATGTTAATAAAATTTAACTTAAAAAATTAATTTGCTATTACTATTGATGCTATAATTGGTAGGAAATAATTGACTTGTATGTCAAGTGCGACTACTAATGGTGATTGATTTAGGGAGGGCCCCATATTGAGGGGGACAACATGTAATAAAAATAAATAAAAGAAACAGAAACAATCAAAACAGAGCGGCATTGGAAAAGTTGGCAGGAGAGACATAAATAAATAGGGTTTTACTAACTCTGTTTCCCACTACATTTGTCATTTGAGAGAGAACTGGAAGAGACGCAAGAGAATAGTCTAGAAGAACTCTACAAGGGAGACTCTGCTGAGATGGGAAGGCCAAGGTGCTTTCTTGACATTAGCATAGGAGAAGAACTTGAAGGCCGGATAGTGGTGGAGCTTTACAATGATGTGGTGCCTAAAACCGCCGAGAATTTCAGAGCTCTCTGTACTGGTGAGAAGGGCATTGGACCAAACACTGGTGCTCCTCTCCATTACAAGGTCCTCTATTTTTCATTGTTTCTTTCTTTGTTTATGTTTGTATGTTTGTTAATGCATCTTGGGTTCTTTTTACTTGTTGTTTTTATGATGTAAAAGATTGAGAAAGTCTTGATTGATATGCAGAACTTCTGGGTTTTCCATTTTGATTGGGTTTATGTGTCATTAATCTTTGTTTAAGGATACGTTCATTTGCAAAACTGCAACTTTTTGTTGTTGCTTTCTTTGGTGATTGTGGTTTTGTGCAACCAGCTTCTTATATGCAAGGAGTCATTTGCCATCGGAGTACCTGTGAAGATAATCGTATCAAAGATATTATGTTTTGTCTTAAAGAGGTTCATTTAGTTACTGTTCATCCGTAATTTTAGGGATATTTTAATAAAGAATTGTGATTGTTGATAAAGAAAAGTTAATTGTTTACCAGGGTCGATTATATGTGTTGAAAGGAAAATGAAATTTCATAGAGACTGTTGAAACTCATAGAAACTTTGAAGGCTGGACAATCAATGGGCGAAAAAATGATATCCTATTGTAACTTCTTGTTTTTTGCTTTTCGGTACTGTAATGTGCTTTTTCAGTTTGTATAGCGGTTCATTAGCTGCCTTTGGGATATGTTAAATGTATTGCTGTGAAAATCTTCTGTTATTCCATGTCATATCAGGGAGTTCGTTTTCATCGTGTTGTCAAAGGTTTTATGATTCAAGGGGGTGATATTTCTGCTGGAGATGGTACTGGGGGAGAATCTATATATGGATTGAAATTTGAGGATGAAAATTTTGAATTGAAACACGAAAGGAAAGGCATGTTATCGATGGCTAATTCTGGTCAGGACACCAATGGGTCTCAGTTTTTCATCACAACAACTCGCACTTCTCATCTAGATGGGAAACATGTTGTTTTTGGGAAGGTAGTTAAAGGAATGGGAGTTGTCCGTTCAATTGAGCACATAACCACTGCTGAGAGTGATTGTCCCAATGTTGATGTTATAATTGCGGATTGTGGAGAAATTCCTGAGGGGGAAGATGACGGAGTTTCTAATCTTTTCAAAGATGGTGATATTTATCCTGATTGGCCAGCTGATATTGATGAGAGTCCTATTGATCTTTCTTGGTGGATGACCTCTGTAGAGTCAATTAAGGCTTTTGGTAATGAATATTATAAGGTAATGTTCATGTTAAGTTACAGTCTATTGATCTTTCTGATGTTTATTCCACCCACCGCCCCCTCAACCAAAAAAAGAATGTTTAAGAAATAAGTGATTGTGCTGAAAAGGTGATATTTACTGTTAGCAGAAACAAGACTATAAGATGGCTCTTAAAAAGTACCGAAAGTCTTTACGCTATCTGGATATTTGCTGGGAGAAAGATGGAATTGATGAAGGTGAATTTGCTCTTCTAAAATTCTGTAATCTGTTTATTCCCTAATTGTATTGGACAACAAGTTTCTATCTCATGATTTACTTCGCTTCCCCTGCGACTCTGCAGAGAGGAGTTCAAGTTTGAGAAAGACCAAGTCACAGATTTTCACAAACAGCTCTGTAAGTTATCTTTTTTGTGTTGGCTTTATAGTATAATATATTGATCATTTTAGTTGAAATTGTATTATGAAAGTAATTTTCTCTCTAGAATGACTATCTATTTGTATTTTGAATGTAAAAAACAGGGTATTTAAAAAAAGGTTTAGATGCCAATATAAAAGGTTGGCAGGACTTGATTATTGCTTGAACATGCTATATGTTGTACTTTAAACTGTTATGATATGTACATAACCTTCCAACTTAGTTACATAACTCATTACTACTCTTCCTGAATCAATGGTTTTCTTTTGTTTGGGGGACAGATTGCAGTGACGAAGTTCTTATGCCCTTCTTCTGCTTCTTAAAAGCATATCCCATTACTGTAAATTCTTTCTTGTTTTTATTGTATTTCTAGTGCATTTTGTCTAACTACTTACCATGTTTGGTATGTTGTTCTAGGCTTGTAAATTGAAGTTGGGGGACCTGAAAGGAGCACTGTTAGACACCGACTTTGCAATGAGGGATGGAGAAGATAATGTTAAGGCTTTGTTTCGCCAGGGTCAGGTTAGTATCTTCTGTTTATGCATGTATGCCACCGTGGTCCTGTATCTGCTTAAAGTTGTATCACTCTTTACTTCCTGGTGCATTTAATTCTATATTTCCAGTGTCTTATCCATGCAGTCTGCCTTTATTGTTATTTATGAAATTTGTGAATATTGCCTTCACTATTGTTGCTGGTTGTTAAGTTACTGATGGGAAGTTTATTGGATTGTGTCCTTATATCCTGATGGCTATGTTCCTTCTATCTGTCAGGCATACATGGCGCTTAATGATATTGATGCTGCAGTTGAAAGCTTCAAAAGGGCATTGGATCTGGAGCCAACTGATGGTATGGACAGAGTCCTTTGTCATAAGCATAAGGCTTTATTTTAATGCCAGTTTTAGTGGTTTGAGAAAAAAGATGGTGAGAAGTAGATAAACTATGGAGAGTCATAAATTTGTATGTGAGTGGTAATGGAGTTGAACAATCTGGATCCAACATTTTGTTATATTTTCGATGGAGAACAACTAGCAGTCTCAAATATAAGTAACAAGAAGTTTCTTGTCAAAGGAGGAGAATACTTTTGCTTTAGTACTTTGTAGCCGCCTCCTAATTGGTTGGGTTTATTAATATTCTTTTAATAAAGGCATAAATGGTCAAGTTGATGCAAATGCTTTGGAATTTGGGCTTATCTGTTTGCCGAAACTTACTGTGGTTTACGGAATTTGGGCTTACCTGTTTGCCAAAACTTACTGTGGTTTACTTTTGATCTTCAGCTGGAATAAAGAGGGAGCTTGCCGCTGCAAAGAAGAAGGTCCGTATATTAAACCAGACTTGTGAAATTCTGGGGAAAAAGATGTTAGAGATTTCTTATTTCATAATTTTTGGACAGATTTCTGATAGACGTGATAAGGAGAAGAAGGCCTACAGCAAGATGTTCCAAAAGTAGCACTTCGGCAGTCAACTGGTACGTAAGATACTTTTGGTTTGATTTTTTTCACCCTATGACTCAACATTGACATTAAGAATCACTGCCTAATGTAATTTGCCAATACAGGCTGCCTTTACCTTGAATTTACAAATGCTTTGGAGTCCAATCATACCTAGTGTCAACTGGTTCCGACTTATTTTGTCACAAGCCCTGATTTTCTGGAGGGAAAATCAGGTACTGAATATTCTGTCCTCTATATTTTCTCAAACATTGTGTGACAATATGTTAGATATACACAATGTATATACGCTGTAATGTTTTTGGACAGATATCTAGCATACTATGTTGTTCGACTGCGAATTAGGACCACACATTCAAATATGATTTTAACACAATCAAATAGTTTAGGTTGGCAAGAAATGTATTTTGTCTATATATTTACAGTTTTTTGTAAGTTTCATATAGAATTTGGAGAATAGGTTCATTCAGCTATTGGTTCCATATCAGTATTGCTTCTGTATTTTATACTTCAAATTTGGTTTGTATGTTTTTGTAGTTCGTTCACGGATCTTTATTTACTTTAACACCTTCCTATTTCGCAGGTCGCTCCAGATCATAGGAGAATAAGTCTGATCCTGGCAAGAAAATTTACCTGTAAAGAATTAAAGCTTGAAGCTCATCTAATTGAACTTCTCCCCTCTTTTGTTTTTCTTTTTCCTAGCAAGACAGCTTTACTATTTGGAACTTGCAAAAAGCCAATGAGTTGTAACTTGATCAAACGTTAAACCAAACAATTTTGTCCTGTTACATGCTGGAAGCATTTTGTTGATATGAAGACAGACTCAGGATTTTAAAATAGGGTGGGCTAAATTTATCTTACATACAAATCTAGAAAACTTGACGGTACGAATGAATTTCATTGAAGCATAAATTTTAAGTTCAATTAGCAATTACATGATCAACTTTTCCATGAAAGGAAAAGAATTGAAAGTAATTATTATCCATTACAAAAGAAGAAGAAAAAAAATTGAACCATTTTAATCCAACTTCTCCATGAAAGGAAAAGAATTGAAAGTATATTATCCATTACAAAAGAAGAAGAAGAAAAAAAATTGAACCATTTTAATCCATTCAAGCCAACTTGGAAAATAAAAATGAGAAGTAGCCAAGATTTATAAGAAAATAAAAAAATGAATTGACATTTTATGTACACTAGAAAAGGTAAAGATTTTTTTTTTGACAGAAAAAGTAAAAGATGTTCTATAGGAATGTGTGTTTTATGAAAAAAGCTGAGTAATAAATATTAATTAACTAAAGAAAACAAAGAAGAGATTTTCTGTGGGTGGGATAACTGGGATGTGGTGTGTGGAGGTGTGCTTTGGTAGACTGAGTATTAATATTGAACTATAAAATATCAAATTGTCCGGGCTATAGCTCATGTTAACATGGACATAGGTCCGTCCCTAGATATGATGGTGAGATGGACAAACTTTTACTTGGGCTCGATTTTTTTTATTTTTTTATTTTATGGTAGATATTATGTGCTAACCAATTAAATTTTATTGTCTCTAGACCAATTTTTTTTTAATTTTTATTGTCATGAATTATGTTAACATCAATCGTGCAAGACTATGCATTGATTATTGCGAGCCTTGTAATAAATTCCGGTCACGCTCAACTCCTGTTATAGGCAAAAATAATGTGACCCATGCACATGCTAGTACAGCTGAAAGTTAATCTCAACTTTAGATGCATGGGAGCAAACTTTAGGGAAAATATGCCAAATTTATGTGAACACTTCAGAATTAGGTTACAAATGAAAATAGACTTATCTGGTGCTTTTGTCAAAACCCAAAAAGATCGTAAAACTTTCTGTATATTGCACGTTCCTTTGTTTTTAAGGATCTGAGGGAAGACAGCTGGCGAACTGAGATTGGTTATAAAGTTGCATCATTCTTAGGGTTGAATTTTTGTCTTGTCAGATTAGTGCAAGTCACAAATCACCATCACCAGCTTTGACTTGTAAAGTTGGATGTTGGATGTGGGGGCTCCACATCACCGCCGTTTGCCTCTTTTTCTCGTTTTTTGGTGGGTCACGTCTACCTCACACATATCAGACTGGTTGACAATTAAGAAATTTTAGGTGGGACTTACCTCTCAATGGAGTGAATATTCCATGTTTTATGTAACATGTAGTACTTTGTACTGTATATAAGTTATTTTAATACTTGACAAGTTTATTAAGTAGTCTAAGAACCGCTATTTTTATTGAGAAAATACTTCCCTCCTTTCCTCGTAAGTATGAACTCCTAAAGGAAGACAAGTTGAATTTCATCAAATTAAAATATTCCTGAGTGTTGTACCATGTATAGCAGCATAAGGAGCGTGTAACAACATGCTGACGCATAAGATACAGGAACGCTACCCTCAAGCAAAAAGAGCCAAAGCAAAGAGGGAAAATCAATTTGGGCATGCAAAATTGCGGTTCATGGGAACGGAGTATATCCACTCTGAAAATTCAAACGTTGTAATCATCAAGTCCGAGATCCCTTAGTGCGTCAGTAGCGGCTTCCTTACAGCTTACATGGCTTTGCTTGGCCGCCCTTATGTGTTTCTCAACACCGCTATTGAGCAGAAGAGTTCTGTGCAGTGAAAAAGATGACGTCGGAACAGTTAGGTTAAAACGAGAGCACAACTGAATGGCATGCATAGTATGATTAAAAATATGTGATACTGATACCAAAAAGAGAGGGAGATGGGTTTATAACAAAAAGACTTGCCTGTTGGCTGCATTTCTTGCGACTAGATTCCGGATCATGAGACAGGAATTCTTCTGCATTTGCTGTGCTGCAGGAAATTTCTGCATAGCTTGGAGGGCAAGTTCTCCAGCCCCAGCTTCAATGGCACGTGCAGCATTTTCTGGGGACCTTAAGGAGAGTACAGAAATAACAGCCATTATCTGTGGAAATAATTAATGCAAAGGTTGAGCTACGGAATAAATGTAAGACTGAAATGAAGATCACATCACAGTTAGAATTAGTTGCTCGGAAGTCATTACAACATTATTCTCGTGAGGATCTGATCACTAATAATATTTTGTTCAGAATTCTTGCAAATAATACTTAAACAGAGAAGAAATAGCACTTTGCCATTAATAAGCATGTTTTGATTTCAGGTATGTTAATAAACATGTTCAAACTGCCAGATCTAGAGCCATTAAAGCCATTCAATCAACTGTACAGTGTCAGACACTACTAAAACCTAACATGCATTCGAGAACAGGGGAAACAATTAACAGTTTAAGCACTCAGACAATACAGCTAACATCTAACCACATAATGGCATATGAACTCGGAATTCAATTGAATTGGTACCTCAGCCACGTAATTAGTCCAAAAATATGCAAATTCAATATGAAACAATTGTAGTTTCCTTACCTCTTGCAGGACAGATGGGTCATCAAAAAATCTAGCCGACAGTTTAATTAGCCTATCCATACCCTTCTTCTCAACAATTGCTGTCTTATTTGCGTCACTTCCTGCCAACTAAAATATAACAATATATAAGAGGACCTAACAAGCTTCACCAGACAGTAGCATGTGCAATTTTCTAAGTAATACTGACAAAGGCAACTCAACGCATCTACCACTTTGTAATTAATACCAAGAGTTTATATAGCACAAAGCAATAGATAATGTATTTACTTCCAAGAATTGCGGTCCAAGAGTTCTAGATAAAGCCTTTAAACTGCTTTAAATCTTCACACTGTCAGTAAAATAGGTTTTTCTCTTGTAACCTCCAATTGCTCACATATGAGTTATTAAAGAACGAATGTGAGAGGTACACCGTGCCAATGGTGTCTCAAAAGAAAAATAGAAAATAATTTCACTTAATCAAGGTTATAAATGTGATTTAGACCTTGCAGAGCAAAGAACAGCAAACTTTAGCAACGGTCTTGTTGCCTTGTTCACTGCTGTCATCAATACATACGAGAACAGCATCAACTCCACCATTTTCGGAAATGGAGGTGCATATTTCATCCTGTGGAAAAATGAAGACCAATAATTAAAAGAATTAGAATAACAAAATATAGTGTACAATATATCACATTTGTAATTAGTAACAATCCATATACAAATTAGATGAAGAGGCTAAGATTGTATCCCCAATCAACATACTATCAGTTGTTACTGCTATGAGACATATTTGCAATGAGATATAATGACAAATAAAAATATTTTTAAAAAAACCTTTCCATTATATGAAAATAAGGGATTGATCCGCCTAACAAAGTCTAAATTGGAATTCCAAAATGTTTCACACTGACTAAAATATAAAAGGCCATACAATTGTAATTAAAACATCACTCTAAATTGGCATCACATCAGATAACATTCTTACATTGACAGCAACAGCCTTCAAAGCGATGCTTGCTGAAACAAGACTAGATGAGCTAAGCCCTGCACGTATTGAGTCAACTAGAGCTCCGGCAATTCCAATTTTGGCAAATTTCCGGGCATAACCAAAGACCTGAAATTCACAATATTGTTTTTATAAGGAATGTGTCCTCTTTTGAATTTGTAGCATGTGACACTTGACTTAAAAAGGTTTGCCTCACTGCAGAAGCTTCTCGAATTTTGCAATAAACCTCAACTTACTTGCGAAGCCAAAACGCGATTATCATCAGGTGTTAAGAGAACCCGTATAGCATCATATACGCTCTGAATGCTGGCTTCCCTTTTTACACTCAATACTCGCAGAATGAGCTCCTCAATCTTCAACTCTACGAATAGCTCTTTTAGAACCTCATTACCCGTTGCAGCCGCAGCAATGACAGCAAAACCACTACTCAATATGTCTATATTCTCAAATCCATCAGTTATAATACCCACCACGAGCTTTGGTCCATCACTTGCCCTAAACGTTTCTCTACTTTGTAAATCTACAAATGAACAAAAGCCCAGAAATTACGCACAACATACATATAATGATTTTTTTAAATAAAAAAAATCAAATTTCACAAGAAACTAAAGAAGCCAATTTAACCATCATACCATGAAGCAAAAAAGCCAATGCCTTCAAAGCCGAAACAATAGCATGTTCGCACCCCTTTTGAACTTTATAACATATAGAACAAATTATTTCAACCCCTCCATTTCTAGAGGCAATTGCTGCATTTCCAGAACCTTCGGAATTACAGAGCTCTGTAAGTTTATTAAGTAACTCCACCGTCTCATCGTCGATTTGATTGCTTGGACCGGCATTCAACTGGTTCAATCTATCCAAACAATGTATCACAGGGTTGTCCTTCACACTACCCTCTCCCGGGACACAGGTGACAATCCCTGTAACACACAAAGAACCGAAAATTACACAACGAAATGAAATAAACGCTACACTTACTGAATTGGGTCTGTTTGGTTTCCGAGAAAATGGGGGAAATGAAATGCAAGCAATTTGATTTCACTCAATCACTCTGTTTTTTTTCTTCCTCCTACAGTTCTTCGAAACCAAAACGAATCTTATTGGAGAGATTGGGGTAAGAGTAGTGTACCAGAGAGATCAACGCCCTGGAGAGTTAGGGTTTGGATGGCATCTTGGAGGGCCTCGGTGGGGTCCATGCCGAGATCGTCCATGTTCTCCTTCACCACCTCGTCGAAGGCCTCCTGAGAGATCGAACGGACCGCGTTTTTCGGTGGGCCCATCGCCGAAGTTTCCGGCACCGTCCGATCGGAAATACGGACTTGGTGTTGGGGATGGTGGTAGTAGAGTTGTGGAGAGTTGAGAATGGAGAGTGTGGGTGGCAAAGAAGGCAGCGCGCCGATTTGAAAATGAGGAGATGGTCTGAGATTTGATTTGAGGGCTGATGCCTAGGTGACTTGTCTGTGATCAAAATTTTCTCACAACCAATTATGTTACTCCACCTGTCAAAAAAATGAGAAACACTCCTTTTACTTTCCTTCTAAGTGAAAATGATTGGTTGTTGTGCTCGTGTACATAGAAAAACTTGCTTAAAGCAATTGGGTGTAACGAATGGAAAAAAGGCATTGACTTGCCGACAATCTCAGGTTTGATAGTGTGTGTGTGTGTGTGAAAAACCTCTTTCTTGATTTATAGTTATGTTTGACATATTATATGCTCGATTCTCTTTCTTTAAGATTTGTAAAGGTCTTATTGAGAAATTGTTATTTTTAATTTTAACATCATCTAACATCGGCGTAATATTACTAATTTACTAAAATTCTAACGTGCTATATTCACGCCAAAAAGTTAATTTCGACAAAGTTAGCACATGGAAGCCTTTTCATATGATGCACAAAAGTTACAAGTTACAACAAATTTTGGAACCAACATTGTGTAATTTGGTAAAATAATCATATTCCAATCTTGAACCTTCATTAATTTAGAATGTATGAATCACTTCTATATTATCTGTCACACACATTTGTTGGTATTAAAAATTAGAGATAATACTTGGTAAACTGCTCCTGTGCTAATGTCATTGTCATGTCACACAATCGTATAGCATGTCTCTGTGGTTTCTAATTATACATGACTTTCATGATATAAAAAATAAAAAAATAAAAAAAGGGAATAATTATACCAAGACTTTTTACCCAAAGAAAAAAAATATATTATAGCATGACTTGTCTAATTTGTGGATGTCATCATCATGTCACAGAATCGTTATAGCGCAACTATTTCCCTCAAGCATCCTCAACTTCTATTAGGCCGCAATACTTACTCGTTTTCCCCAACACAAGAAGACTGACAAGATCTATTAGATATCTTCTTTAGTTCGTTTAAAATCGCAATGCCTAAATTTTCATTTGCAATGACTTGGACTAATTTTTTATTATTATATATATTTATTATAATAATTTCAATCTACATTTTTTTTTTCGAACAAAAGTTTGGGGAAGATTTGCTACTCTCACTACCAGCACCTAGACAGACCCACAAACACAAGTTGTAAGGACTTATGCGTGGCACCCAACTACCAACTGTCACCAGTATGAATTTATATAGAAAATTATAAATAGTGCACCAGCAAGAATTGCTGACAGCGGAATTCAAACACTGTTGGGTAGTGGGGTTATACAAAGTGCATGTAACCTTATCACTTGAACCAACCCTTGTTGGCAATTTCAATCTACTTTCAAACTCAAAAGAAATAGTTAAAACGATTACCCATTTGCATTTGGTTGACTGTCCTCTATATTGATGGAGAAAATTCCTTCTACTCTCACTCAGTCACAAACCCATTGTCTCCTTGTCATTCATTTTTAGAATTCTTTTAAATCCTTTTTGCTTCATTTAAAAAAAAAAAATTTATAAAGATTTTGCAATATGTTAAAACCAATAATTTGTTAAAATTGAAGGCTATAATAAAGGTCATAAAAAAAATTCAAATGATAAAGTGATTTTATCTCTACATCCAAAAGCTGAGTTTGATTCTTACATTCTGCTTCCTTAGAATCAAAACATTACTTATTAAAGGGCAGAAATTATGAGCACCAACAAAACAAATATTCAACTCTCTTCATTAGAAAAGCATAAAAATTTATTTTGACCTCCCAAGCATGAAATTGAGGTCAGAGAGGGAGAAAGAGACATTAGTGGAGGACTAACTTAGGGAGACTTGAGCTTAATAAGAAGCATTACAACTGACAACATGTTTTCTTTGTCTTACCAACCAATTTTGAAAAGGGGTCAATTAGGCCGTTTTGCACCACTCCATCTGCCTACATATAAGAACCCATAGCCAACATTTGAATTCACAATCTCATTCTCAAGTCTCATCCTCTCAACCCTCTAAAATTTCCATCTATCTTCCTTCTCTTTGAGTTGCATTTGAAAGTGAATAATGGGTTCCCATTATTTTGCACAAGCCCTAGCTATGGTGCTAGTTGCTTCAATGCTGGCAGTTGGCTTAGCCAACAAGGATTGGCAACATGGCAACTACACGGGTTGGGGATTCAACCATGACCCATATCACCTCAACGAGACCAAAGGACCTAACAAAATCACAGTTGGTGGCTCAGAAAACTGGCATTACGGATTTGACTACAAACAATGGGCTTGGAAGAATGGCCCATTTTACATCAATGACACTCTAGGTGAGTTCGCAACTTTTTGTTCATCTTTAGCTTCCTTAATCCTTTTGGGGGGAAAGTAAAAAGCTTGCTTCTGTTCAAGGATGTTTAAGTTCACTGGCAAGCTGCATGCTCTAATTATACATATGAAATGTTGTCTTCTATTGATATCTGTAAGTTGCTCAGTTACGCATATTACCTATATTGACAACTTGATAACACAACATAACACGTGAAACTATCAAGCAATAGAAAGTTCCATTAGTTACATTTGTCATAATTGCATTAATTCTACTGTGCAATTTGCTTCACTATAGTCTATAAGCAACCCTTTTTCCATGATGAACATGCAGTTTTCAAGTATGATCCTCCAAACGACACCACACGTCCTCATAGCGTGTACTTGTTCCAAAACCCTTGGAGCTTCATGAAGTGTGATTTAAGCCAAGCCAAGATGGTGGGAAAACCGACACAAGGAGGTGGAAAAGGCTTTGAGTTTGTGCTCAAGAGTTGGCAGCCTTACTACTTCGCTTGCGGCGAGCACGATGGCCTCCATTGTAAGGACGGACTGATGAGGTTCGCCGTCTTCCCAATGTTTCGTGGCTGGCATTACTGATCTTCTGGCAATGGAGCATTTCTAATTTTCATAATTATGTTCATTACTTTTTGAGCAAATAACAAGACTTGGTGTGCTAGTTTTGAGAGAGTATATAGTTGATAATTTCATAATTATGAAATTATTGTTTAATTAGTGTAAGATATAATACATTATATGATACGTGTGCCTTTTTTTGTAACAGAAATTTATAAATAAGCAATTAAAAATTCATTGTCTTCCTACTTTTATTAACCTTATAGGCAAACATCCATGCCAATATTCACAACAAGGACTCCGCATCCATAATACTATTGGACTACATCAACTTTGAAACGATGATAATAGGTCCTAGTCATTAACTTTGTTACTCATTCAACTACTAAGTTTTTTTCAACGATTGGAATTCATAGATCATTTTTGTTAAAATAATAATAATAATAATTAAGATATCTAATTATGATCAACAAAATAAACGAACAATGTGTTTCAAGCAAACATTAAAATTACAACCATTTAATTCAAATTTAGATTCAAATGATTTATTGCAAAGATGATTTGAAGAAATTCCGAAAAAAATAAATGGTTTGAATCATTGAAAAACATGAGGGTTGCCGACTTTTCAAGCAAGCCAGCTCGTATATAGTTTCTTCTTCTCCTCCTCATTTAAATTTCTAATCTTTGCTTCAAGTCAACTATTTGATCATTTGTATGGGCAACAATGGGCATACATATATGACTCGATTGAGAAACTTTTAGGGCTTTGTCATCATTATAGGTTATTTCCCTTAAAAATGATTTAAATTGTTTATGTTGAGTCTCCCCAAAGTCCTTTAATCTCTTTGGGTTATGATTATAATAATATGAAGAGAGGTGTTGAGGAAATAGAAAGGTGAATGAGTGACTAGTGATGGAAAAATGAATGGCTATTTCAATCCTCACCAACTTATCTTGTTGCCCCGGTCAGCAAACATGCATGAAAACCATTCGATCAAGTATATGTCCGGATTCAATGTCTCGATAGTTAGCTCTTAGTTTTGCTGTAGAGAGAACAACATGGACGAAGGAATTTGAAGACAAAAATCATATCTCTCAAAACGCCTTATTTTTCATGGAAAGCAACGTAAAAAAAGGTATTATCTTGTTGGAATTGACTGTCATGGTAGAAAGATGAAACTGTAATATTAATTTCGCTTCTGAATTAATGGTACCCAAAGTTTTGATAGCTATAACTGGCTATGCTGGCCAAATTACCCTAATGCATGCCCATATGAACTTCCACCTCTCCCCAAAAGGAGCCATATCTATTTCAACAAATTAATAATTTATTTAATAAAGCGATATTTTAAATTATTCTAATGTACAGAGAAGAGATCGGACTCAAATGCAAAGGAACAAAGACATTGCTCTAGACAATTGACGTAACTCATATCAACATTTCAACAAATTGATATAAAAAAGTGCTTTTGGCGCTGAGAAAATACATCAGAACATGCCTTCCTTTTGAAGGAAATCTCATTTTATTTGAAGCATCCGTTTGAACATGTATGCTATGCCAAGTTGGGTTGATCAGTCCAAATTTGCAGTGTCTTGAACATGATTAGTTAGTAAGACTCTTCCATAGTGGTTATTTATTTATTTCTCTATGTCATCGTCATGTCACACAATCGTATGCCATAATTTTTTTCTCAAGCATGAAATACATGTTTTCCCCAACTTCTTAGGCCGCAACTTTTACTCGTTTTCCCCAATATCTAGTTCGGTTAAGATCACAATGCCTAATTTTCCATTTCACATTGACTTTAGAAAAATAGATATTTAGATAAACTTTTATGCTGACAAGAAATAGTAAAAAAAAAAAAAAAAAAAAAAAAAAAAAAAAAAAAAAAAAAAAAAAAAAAAAAAAAAAAAAAAAAAAAAAAAAAAAAAAAAAAAAAAAAAAAAAAAAAAAAAAAAAAAAAAAAAAAAAAAAAAAAAAAAAAAAAAAAAAAAAAAAAAAAAAAAAAAAAAAAAAAAAAAAAAAAAAAAAAAAAAAAAAAAAAAAAAAAAAAAAAAAAAAAAAAAAAAAAAAAAAAAAAAAAAAAAAAAAAAAAAAAAAAAAAAAAAAAAAAAAAAAAAAAAAAAAAAAAAAAAAAAAAAAAAAAAAAAAAAAAAAAAAAAAAAAAAAAAAAAAAAAAAAAAAAAAAAAAAAAAAAAAAAAAAAAAAAAAAAAAAAAAAAAAAAAAAAAAAAAAAAAAAAAAAACTCCACTATCATTCACCTATCTCATTCATTTTTAGAAATTTTGTTTTGCTACATTTTTCTTCATATCATTTCAACGAAATTGCTGGATATTTGTTTTTATACTGTTAATTAAACTTCATTGGAGCCTCTCTAATGCATGTTTCAAATGTACAAAGCAAAAGTGTACTTTTGGGTATTGTATATTTTCCGTGAAGAAGAGGTACGGTAAAATTTGCTAACCTTTCTAACCACATCTGCAATAGTTGGAGTTACTCTTCGGGAATCAATTTGCGATACCTCTTTTAGAATTTTACATTTTGTTTCTTTTTCCCCCCAAAATTTTGCAATATGTGTTACAACTTACATAACAATTTGTTGAAAGTAATGACCTATAATTCAAATGATACTTTCATCTCTATACATGCGGAATAGAGTTTAATTCTTACATTCTGCTTCCCTTGTATGAAAATTGTTGTTTATTACGTGGGAATGAAATTTAGAGAGGGAAGAAGAGACACGTGGAGGACTGACTTACGGAGACTTAAGCTTACAACTAACAACATGTTTTCTTTGTCTTACCACCAATTTTGAAAAGGGGTCAATTAGGCCGTTTTGCACCACTCAGTCTGCCTACATATAAGAACCCATTGCCAACATCTTAATTCACAATCTCATTCTTAAGTCTCCTCCTCTCAACCCTCTCAATTTCCTTCTCTCTTCCTTCTCGTTGAGTTGCATTTGAAAGTGAATAATGGGTTCCCATTATTTTGCACAGGCCCTGGCAATGGTGCTAATTGCTTCAATGCTGGCAGTCGGCTTAGCCAATAAGGATTGGCAACATGGCAACTACACTGGTTGGGGATTCAACCATGGCCTCAACGAGACCAAAGGACCCAACAAAATCACTGTTGGTGGGTCAGAAAACTGGCATTACGGATTTGACTACAAACAATGGGCCTGGAAGAATGGCCCATTTTACATCAATGACACTCTAGGTGAGTTTGCAACTTTTTGTTCATCTTTAGCTTCCTTGAGCCTTTTTGGGGAAAAATAAAAAGCTTGTTTCTGTTCAAGGATGTTTACGTTCACTAGCATGCTGCATGCTCTAATTATACATATGAAATGTTGTCTTCTATTGATATCTGTAAGTTACTCAGTTACGCTTATTACCTATATTGACAACTTGATAACACAACATAACACGTGAAATTATCAAGCAATAGAGAGTTCCGTTAGTTACATTTGTCATAATTACATTATTTCTACTGTGCAATTTGCTTCACTATAAGCAACCCTTTTTCCATGATGAACATGCAGTTTTCAAGTATGATCCACCAAATGACACCACACGTCCTCATAGCGTGTACTTGTTCCAAAACCCTTGGAGCTTCATGAAGTGTGATTTAAGCCAAGCCAAGATGGTGGGAAAACCGACACAAGGAGGCGGAGAAGGCTTTGAGTTTGTGCTCAAGAGGTGGCGGCCTTACTACTTCGCTTGCGGCGAGCACAACGGCCTCCATTGTAAGGACGGGCTGATGAGGTTCGTCGTCTTCCCAATGTTTCGCGGCTGGCATTACTGATCATCTGGCAATGGAGCCTTTCTAATTTTCATTATTATTAATTACTTTTTGAGCAAATAACAAGACTTGGTGTGTAAGTTTTGAGAGAGTATAGTTGATAATTTCATAATTATTAACTCTTGTTAAGTAGTGTAAGATATAATACATTATATGATACGTGTCCTGTTTTTTGTAACAGAATTTATAAATAAGCAATCAAAAATTCATTGTCTTCTTCTATTTTTTTTTTTTTTTTTTTTTTGTTTTGTTTCTCTTCCTACTTTTATTAACCTTATTGGAAAACATACATGGAATGGAAATATTCACAACAAGGACTCCGTATCCACAATACTATTGGACTACATCAACTTGTAAGGATGATAATAGGTCCACGTCATTAACTTTCTAATTTCACTACAAAATTTATTTCGATGATCAGAACTCATACATTATTTTTGAAGAAAAAAATTAGACAAATTAAAAATCATCCTGACTTCTAATTGTGACCAACAAAATAAGACCAATGTGTTTCAAGAAAACACTAAAATTAGAACCATTTAAGTCAAATTTGAATTCAAGTGATTTCTCGCATAATTATTTGAAGAAAGTCTTAAAATATGGTTCATTGAAAAACATGAGGGGTTGCCAATTTTCAAACAAGTATGCTCTTATAGTTTCTTCTTCTACCCCTATAAATTCCTAATCTTTGCTTCAAGATTTATAAACCATGTTGTTTCCTTGAGATTGTTTTCTCTTCCTTTAAGTCAACTATTTGATACTTCCTATATTTTTGTAGCTTTGTTTAGGGGTGTATATGTAGATATGAGCAACAACCGTCATGCATATATTTTAGGGCTTTGTGATCATTATAGCCGAGTTAAGAATGAGATGCTAATTCTCATCTAACACATGTTGTTTGAATTCTCATTTATAATGGTTCGTATATCAATGTCATATGATTTATGTTACCTTCAATTTATTTCAAAACAGAGCTGCAAACTTCTCTTCGTTGTCTCGTTAGACTGTTTTGTATTTTTCATCATAATTATGATGGATACATTTTAAAAAGTAAATTCCTATACAAGTAATTTTATACTATGAAATTTAACATTATTTGATCCAAAAAATGTTGGCGGATCCCTATTTTTTGTTGTTGTATTTATGGGTTTAAGCTGTATTATTTGTTATAAATAAAATTCATTTTTTTATTATTTCCCGATGGGCTAATAGCTGGAAATCATTAGAATGAGAGGTATCGGAAAGAATTTAAATTTTCATTCTCCAATATCACTTGTATAAATAAAATAATTGAAGAAATAACTCTAGCCCAAAGGGCTAAATTGGTATTTTAGCCCTAAACCCTAATATGATATAACAAAAATGTATATTTAAAGGGTATAGCCGAACGGCTATACTTTCTAAATACATTCGAATATTTTAAACGTATAGCCGGACGGCTATACTCTTTAAATAGTAATATATTCGAATATTTTAAGGGTATAGCCGAACGGCTATACGCTTTAAATGTTAACAGGAAGCTTTGCACTCGCAGTCAGCCATTTCGCTTCTCTATCAGACTCAAGCTTCGATTGGTTTTCTTCGGTTTCGGCTGCTTCGTCCTACGGGTTCGGCACCGAAAAAAGACCCAACCCTCCTAGGAGGGCCGCCCAGCCGCCTAGCCCCCGCCTAGATCCGCCTAGCCGCCTAGCGCCCGCCTAGCCTCCGCCTAGCCTCTTCCTAGCCGCCTAGCGCCCACCTAGCCTCCGCCTAGCCGCCTAGGGCCCGCCTAGCCGCCTAGCGCCCTCCTAGCCTAACATCGCCGGCTTGTTGCAGATTTTGACGGAGAAAAATCTGATAGCGGAGACAGGGTCGAGTTCCAGAGCCATAGAATTGGACCATATTCAGGAGGAGATTGAGGAGGTGACTGCCGTTCCGGAAGTGAAGGAGAAGAAGAAGAGCAGAAATGCTTTGAGGAAGGGGTCGGGAGGTGAAGAGGTCCGAGCTATGCAGGTCTGCTTGCTTTTGAAAGGCGAGTTTTGATTTTTCGGAGTCTATCGTTCATTTCTTGTGTTTTGTTTTGAATTGAAAATTGCACTTTTAAATTTGTTCATTGTATGAGCAGATAAAGTTGTTTACAACTTTTGTTTCTTTTCTTTTCTGTAACTGGGTTTGTGTGGTTCTTTCCTTTTCTAGTGTTCGCTTCGTTTTTGGATGTAATATTTGTGATTTCGACTTGTTCCAATATAATGTTCCTGTTATTTGACAGGAAGCATTGCAAAAACTAGGATTTTACTCGGGTGAGTAAGACATGGAGTTTTCCAGCTTCTCGAGCGGGACCGAACGTGCTGTGAAGACTTGGCAAGTAAGTTTCAATTATCATTAGATGTTACTATGTATAATGCATGAAGAGTAAAATTTCAGAATCATCAAGTTGAACAAAAATTTCACAACGCAAAATATATATGTTAGTCAACTTGTAATATCTTGTTTGACGCCCCTCAAGATGGCATAGTGACTGCAGAACTTCTTAAACAATTATATACGGTGGCACAAATTGAGGGTCTGGATAACAAAGGGAGTACTCTGACTGCTACACAAAAGGTATAGCCTTCTGACGACATACCATTAGCCTTTATTAAGTGGAAGCCGTTGATGTTTTAAGTTTCAGTACCAATATATCATTCCTCACTTGGAACTGAACATGGTTTGGTAAGTCATTACTTGCATTCCTCAAGAGGAGCCAAAAACTCATTTGATGGTTCAATTTGAAGTGAACTAAGCCTTCATTTTCTTCAACCAGATTGTAAAGAATTGTAGCAAACAGTACTAAGTACCAACCAAGAAGCTCTGTTACTTAATTGAGAAACGGACCTGAAGCTCCGACTCTATTTTCAGTAACTCAGACATGAGGTTTCTTGGTTCCAGTTCATGAGACAATCACTTAACATGCAAATAAATACGATATGACAGTGACGTAATGTGCTGTGGTAACTGGTAACACACCGCAACTTATTTTGGATACTAATAAATGAAGCTGATTATATTGGTAAACTGATTTTCTTCTCCTGGTTGGCCTTGAGCTAGCAACCTGATCATGTTCGTATAAGCTATAGCGAACCAATACATAGGCTGAAACGTCGTAATTCTTCTAATGGTTGTGTGGGTTTTGTTGTTTAGGAAGATACAAATGGAGTTGCAGTTACTTCTGCAACAGAAATTTCAGAGGTCCAGCAAACACTTGTGAAAGGTGTTACAGAAGTAGAGGTATCTGAGCATCGTGTTTTTCTCCTTGGAGAGAACCGCTGGGAAGATTCTTCTAAACTTAGCAGGAACCAAAAAAAGGGAGGTGAAAGCAAGACAATGAATACCACAACAAGGTGTCTTACTTGTCGAGGGGAGGGTCGCTTATTGTGCACAGGTACCTCCTGTCTGTCTCCCGCCTTAGTCACTATATTCAAGTTTATAAACCATTGCCTTTTGCAGAAATACTCTAAATCCACCCATACTATGTATTTGTATATTTATTTTGTTTGATCTGATTTTTAAATATAATGTTGAACACCAATGGCTTTGATGATGATATGCATTAGATTTTTTTTTTGAACTTTTGCATATTTTGTTTTCAACTATCCTCAGTTCCAGAATGTGATGGAACAGGCGAGCCAAACACTGCAGAACAGGTTGGAGGTTTCAAACAGAGACATTAATATTCTCATTTTCGATCATTATCCATCCAGGATGAAGTTTTAATTATTTTGTTAAATGACAGCAGTTCTTGGATTGGGGGGAAGAGGGAGCAAAATGTCCGTATTGTGAAGGTCATGGGTTTACAATTTAAGACGTATGTGAAGGTAAGAAAATATCTTCCCATAAAGACGTGTGCAGTGTTATGATTTAGTACATGTGTTTAAATGGTAGTTGCATTTATAAACAAATGCAGAAAATCATATGTATATCTACTGTTTGTTATACAAATCAACGGGATTTAGTTCAGTCGAAAAGGGCAATGACTTGCAAACCAGAGGTCTCATGTTCGAACCACGACATCATAGTTGTGTGTGTGTGTGAGAAATTCCCCTCCCCTTTAGACTATTGCTTGTACTATATAAAAAAATTAATAATGAAAAAAACAAGTTGTCGTTTTACTTGGAAATAAAGAGAAAAATAAAAAGGGAAGTTGCTAATCGTCAAATTTAATACTTGATCAATAATTCAACAGACCAATTGTTATGAATACACAATATATCTCCTCGTGTAATGGAAGGCAAAGCAAGGCCAAGGGTTAACAATTTTTAATGCCAAATCCAGCATGGAGTAAGTTAAGCTAACCATTACTCGATAGGACGTGTAAATGCAAATATTAAACCAAGAGATTTAACATTTAACTGTTATATATATTCTCATTTCTTTATATGGTATTCTAGGAATTCTTAAAAAATTATATAAAAAAGAATTTGTAACACCCGACTCCAAATTTATTCCTATTTTAATTAAATTAAGAGAATTATTAATTTACTCTTGGGTTAAGGGTAATTTTGGTCATTTTCTTATCTGGAAGGATTTTGGGACCACGAGTGGTTTGGTTGCGTAGGTGGTACTGAGACGAATCCGTAGACAGGCGGTAGGAATTCTTAAAAAATTATAAAAAAGAATTAATCTATTCGAGCATTTTGAGCACTAATATCGCTTGTATAAATAAAAGAATTGAAGAAATAACTCTAGCCTAGTAGGCTAAACTAGTATTGTTGCCCTAAACCCTTAAATAATAAGATAAAATTGCTTTAAAAGTATAGCCGCACGGCTATACGCTTTAAATACATTTGAATATTTTAAAAGTATAGCCGCACGGCTATACTCTTTAAATATATTCCTCAAGAACACGAAGCTTGCACTCGCAGAGGAATGTGGTGCGCGAGTGAAATGAAGGGACAAATAAATGAACACGAAGTTGCACTCGCAGTCATAGCCATTTCGCTTCTCTATAAGCACTTCGAGGCTTCGAAGACTCAGTCTTGAGCCTCTCTCTCAACTCAAGCTTCGATTATTTATTTATTTTTTTTGGGTTTTGGCTACTGCATTGATTCCATTGGATTGGGCTTTCTCAATGTCTGCCAAGGCAGAGCCTTCTGTCCTCTGAGTCCTTGCGCCCTCCTAGCGACCGCCTAGCCGCTCGCCTAGGCCGATTTGTCGAACATTGCGATTGACTGAAAGTCTGAAACCCGAAATTGAAAAAATTTAGCTGCAAATTTGAGCTTGAGATTTGGCATCCAATGCCGTGAAGCAGAAGTCAGGTCCATAGAAGAAGAGATCATGAGACTCTTAATTCATCTAATTCCATTCCTCTCCTTGTTTCCCACCTTATTCTCTTCTCTCTTGGCTCTCTCCCAAACGACATGTTCGCCTCACCACTCCAACGACAACAACAACAATTCCTCCCTCTGCTAACTCTACCTTATTCTCTTCTCTCTTTGCATTGACGACATGGCTCAGAAGAAAAAAAAATACAAAATTTGCTGACTTGGTGTCTGTCTTTAGTGAAAGGAAAATGATGTAGCTATCCGATCATGGAGTTTCTATGGTCTTGCCAATAACAAGGTTCGGTTTTTAGGCCCCAATCTCAAATTCTGACTATTTATTTCTGGTTTGGTTAAGCGACAGGTTGATTGGTTTGGTTCTTCTTGTTTGAAGCTTGATAAATCTTTATGCATTCAACATTCATCCATTGATGGTTCTTCTTGGTTGGACTGCTTTTCATGTAAGAATTTAAGATCAAACAAGCTTTAAGTACAAACCTTGAGAAGCCATGAGAACTGGATAGAAGAGATCTTGAGCAGTAAGCAAAGGTCTTCCAATCTTTCTACACGCCTTATGCACTCCTAATATGAGGTATGACTTGTATGCTTGAATGTGTATAAGATTGGGGACCTAAACATTGTTTTTATAGGTGATTTGACCTGGGTTTCTTGCCCATAAAAGATCACCTAAATCATGCCTTAATCACCTCTAGAATCCACGACAGAATAGGATAGATATCTCCTTTTATTTTATTCTTTCTTCATCTCCAAGTATTCAACTAATCAAATAAAAACTTTCCACTTTTATACCTTAACATATTCTGTGCCTTAAATAGATGCAAACTCAGTAAGGGTCTTACATTCTCCCACTTGAGTGCAATATCTATTTAAAACACTTCCTTATTGCCTGAGAATCGATTCCTTATGTGCATAGTTTGGAAAGCTCATTTGATAAGGATATCTATATCAAACTATGTATCAAATTTCATCAACTCATATGATTGCAGACATGATTCCAAATGATATGGTAGCATCCACCTACAATCACCATAAGCAACAATATCCACATAAGGTACCAACAAGTCATGGTTATGTTCGCATATATCAAAAGTGCAAAACTGTATGAAGTATATCATTCCTGATATATGAATGGTCCACTTTATAACCACTTAGTGGTTTAACTTTAATGCAGAGCTCCTTAATGTTTATAAACAGTCCTCACTCATATTGCAAAAATTCAACAGAATCAGAATCAAAATACTCACTCATGTTGTCAAATAACATGAAAGCGCAATACCAAAACATTTAAAATAAGAACAATACTGTCGGACTATATCAACTCGTAAGGATGATAATAGGTCCACGTCATTAACTATCTAATTTCACTACAAAATTTATTTCAACGATCGGAACTCATATGTTATTTTTGGAGAAAAAAATTAGACAAATTAAAAATTATTAAAACATCTACCTGTGACCAAAAAAATAAGAACAATGTGTTTCAAGAAAACACTAAAATTACAACCATTTAATTCAAATTTGAATTCAAGTGATTTGTTGCAGAAATGATTTGAAGAAAGTCCTAAAAGGCGGGTCATTGAAAAACATGAGGGGTTGCCAATTTTCAAGCAAGCATGCTCTTAGAGTTTTTTCTTCTCCTCCTATAAATTCCTAATCTTTGCTTCAAGATTTATAAACCATGTTGTTTCCTTGAGATTGTTATCTCAAGGAGGAGATGCTAATTCTCATCTAACACATGTTGTTTGAATTCTCATTTAGAATGGTTCGTATATCAATGTAATATGATTTATGTTACCTTCAATTTATTTCAAAATAGTTACAAACTTCTCTTCATTGTCTCGTTAGACTGTTTTGTATCCAATTTTTCATCTACATAGAATACATCGCAGACTAATATATCTCATAGCAGAAGAGAAGGGTTGTCAAGTGCAATGAGAAAAAAAGTCTGTAATTGGGTTCAGTTCATAATTATGATTGATACATTTTAAAAAGTAAATTCCCATACAAGTAATTTTATACTATGAAATTCAACATTATTTAATCCAAAATGTTGGCGGATCCCTATTTGTTGTTGTTGTTTTTATGGGTTTAACCGGTATTATATGTTATAAATAAAATCCATTTTTTTATTCTTTCCTAATAGCTGGAAATCATTAGAATGAGAGGTATCAGAAAGAATTTAAATTTTAATTCCCCAATATCGCTTGTATAAATAAAATAATTGAAGAAATAACTCTAGCCCAAAGGACTAAAGTGGTATTTTAGGCCTAAACCCTAAAATGATACGACAAAAATGTAGATTTAAAGGGTATAGCCGATCGGCTATACTTTCTAAATACATTCGAATATTTTAAAAGTTTAGCCGGACGGCTAGACTCTTTAAATAGTAATATATTCGAATATTTTAAGAGTCTAGCCGACCGGCCAAACTCTTTAAATATTAACACGAAGCTTACACTCGCAGTCAGCCATTTCGCTTCTCTATCAAACTCAAGCGTTGATTGGTTTTCTTCGGTTTCGGCTACTTCGTCCTGCGGGTTCGGCACCGGAAAAAGACCCAACCCGCCTAGGAGGGCCGCCCAGCCGCCTAGCCCCCGCCTAGCCGCCTAGCACCCGCCTAGCATCCGCTAGCCGCCTAGCGCCCGCCTAGCCTCTTCTAGCGCCTAGCGCCCACCTAGCCTCCGCCTAGCCCCTAGGGCCCGCCTAGCGCCTAGCATCCGCCTAGCCGCCTAGCGCTCGCCTAGCCTCTTCCTAGCCGCCTAGCGCCCACCTAGCCTCCGCCTAGCCCCCTAGGGCCCGCCTAGCCGCCTAGCGCCCTCCTAGCCAAACATCGCCAGCTTGTTGCAGATTTTAACAGAGAAAAATCTAATAGCGAAGACAGGGTCGAGTTCCAGAGCCATAAAATTGGACCATATTCGGGAGGAGATTGAGGAGGTGACTGCCGTTCCGGAAGTGAAGGAGAAGAAGAAGAGCAGAAATGCTTTGAGGAAGGTGTCGGGAGGTGAAGAGGTCCGAGCTATGCAGGTCTGCTTGCTTTTGAAAGGCGAGTTTTGATTTTTCGGAGTCTATCGTTCATTTCTTGTGTTTTGTTTATGATACTTTTAAATTTGGAAAATTGAAAACTGAGCAGCATACAGTTTATTACAACTTACAAGGGCGTATTACATTTCTTCTTAGTACGGAAAGTTGTTAACTTTTGTTTCTTTTCTTTTCTGTAACTGGGTTTCTTTTTCTGTAATTTTTGGATGTAATATTTGTGATTTCGACCTGTTATTTGACGGGAAGCATTGCAAAAACTAGGATTTTACTCGGGTGAGGAAGACATGGAGTCTTCCAGCTTCTCGAGCGGGATCCAACGTGCCGTCAAGACTTGGCAAGTAAGTTTCAATTATCATTAGATGTTACTATGTAAAATTTCAGAATCATCAAGTTGAACAAAAATTTCATATATATCTTAGTCAACTTGTAATATCTTGTTTGACAGGCCTCCTTAGACGCCCCTCAAGATGGCATAATGACTGCAGAACTTCTTGAACAATTATATACGGTGGCACAAATTGAGGGTCTGGATAACAAAGGGAGTACTCTGACTGCTACACAAAAGGTATAGCCTTCTGACGACATACCATTAGCCTTTATTAAGTGGAAGCCGTTGATGTTTTAAGTTTCAGTACCAATATATCATTCCTCACTTGGAACTGAACATAATGGTTTGGTAAGTCATTACTTGCATTCCTCAAGAGGAGCCAAAAACTCATTTGATGGTTCAATTTGAAGTGAACTAAGCCTTCATTTTCTTCAACCAGATTGTAAAGAATTGTAGCAAACAGTACTAAGTTCCAACCAAGAAGCGCTGTTACTTAATTGAGAAACGGACTCTATTTTCAGTAACTCAGACATCAGGTTTCTTGGTTCCAGTTCATGAGACAATCACTTAACATGCAAATAAATACGATATGACAGTGACGTAATGTGCTGTGGTAACTGGTAACACACCGTAACTTATTTTGGATACTAATAAATGAAGCTGATTATATATTGGTAAACTGATTTTCTTCTCCTGGTTGGCCTTGAGCTAGCAACCTGATCATGTTCGTATAAGCTATAGCGAACCACTACATAGGCTGAAACATCGTAATTCTTCTAATGGTTGCGTGGGTTCTGTTGTTTAGAAATGGAGCTGCAGTTACTTCTGCAACAGAAATTTCAGAGGTCCAGCAAACACTTGTGAAAGAAGGTGTTACAGAAGTAGAGGTATCTGAGCATCATGTTTTTCTCCTTGGAGAGAACCGCTGGGAAGATTCTTCTAAACTTAGCAGGAACCAAAAAAAAGGAGGTGAAAGCAAGACAATGAATACCACAACAAGGTGTCTTACTTGTCGAGGGGAGGGTCGCTTATTGTGCACAGGTACCTCCTGTCTGTCTCCCGTCTTAGTCACTATATTCAAGTTTATAAACCATTGCCTTGCTACGCTAAACTTTTGCAGAAGTACTCTAAATCCACCCATACTATGTATTTGTGTATTTATTTTGTTTGATCTGATTTTTAAATATAATGTTGAACACCAATGGCTTTGATGATGATATGCATTAGTTTTATTTTTGTACTTCTGCATATTTTGTTTCAACTATCCTCAGTCCCCTTGGTAGCTTATCTCTATTTCTTTGTTGCAGAATGTGATGGAACAGGTGAGCCAAACATTGAAGAACAGGTTAGAGGTTTCAAAATGAGATATTAATATTCTCATTTTCGAGCATTATCCATCCAGGATGAAGTTTTAATTATTTTGTTAAATGACAGCCGTTCTTGGATTGGGTGGAAGAGGGAGCAAAATGTCCATATTGTGAAGGTCATGGGTTTACAATTTGCAACGTATTAATATTTCTCTAATTCAACAAATTAATAATTTATTTTATCAAGCAATAATTTAGATTATTTTAATGTACAGAGAGGAGATCGGACTCTAATCCAAACGAACGAACATACCGCTTATTTCAACAAATTAATATTTTATTTTATTAGGAAATATTTTGAATTATTTTACTATACGAAGAAGATATCAAACTTTTATGCAAACGAACGAAACATACCCCCTTATCCAACTGACCTAACTCATATACATTTCAACAAATTGATATAATAAAAAAGTGCTATGCCGTGCCAAGTTGAAGCATATGTTTGAACATGTATGCTATGTCAAGTTTTGAACATGTATGGTGATCTTAGTCCAGGACAACAAATTAATATTTTAGATTATTGTAACGTACGGAGAGGAGATCGGACGCAGATGCAAATAAACGAACATACCAGTTATTTCAACAAATTATTATTTTATTTTATTTTAAATTATTTTAATATACAAAAAGAAGATTAGACTCATATGCAAACGAATGAACATACTGCCTTAGTCAACTAACCTAACTCATATCTACATTTCAAAAAATTGATATAATAAAAAAGTGTTATGCCGTGCCAAGTTGAAGCATCTATTCGAACATGTATGCTATGTCAAGTTTTGAACATGTATGATGATCTCAATCCAGGTCAACAAATTAATATTTTATTTTATCAACCAATATTTTAGATTATTTTAATATTTAATATACGAAGAGGAGATCGGACTCAGATGCAAACGAACGAACATATCATTTATTTCAACAAATTAATATTTTATTTTGTCAAGAAATATTTTAAATTATTTTAATATATGAAGACGAGATCGAACATACCGCCTTAGCCAACTAACCTAACTTATATCTACATTTCAACAAATTGATATAATAAAAAGTGTTATGCCGTGCCAAGTTGAAGCATCTGTTCGAACATGTATTTGAACAGTATGATGATCTCAGTCCAAATTTGCAAAGTCTTGAACATGGTTATAAATGCCTAATTTTCCATTTCACATTAAAAACATATTTAAATAAACTTTTATGCTAAAAAGAAATAGTAAAAAAGGATAGCCCATTTGCATTTGGTTGACTCCCTCTAGATTTGATGGAGAAAATTCCCTCCACTATCATTCACCTATCTCATTCATTTTTAGAAATTTTGTTCTGCTACATTTTTCTTCATATCATTTCAACGAAATTGCTGGATATTTGTTTTTATACTGTTAGTTAAACTTCATTGGAGCCTCTCGAATGCATGTTTCAAATGTACAAAGCAAAAGTGTACTTTTGGGTATTGTATATTTTCCGTGAAGAAGAGGTACGGTAAAATTTGCTAACCTTTCTAACCACATCTGCAATAGTTGGAGTTACTCTTAGGGAAGTCAATTTGCGATACCTCTTTTAGAATTTTGCATTTTGTTTATTTTTCCCCCTTAAAATTTTGCAATATGTGTTACAACTTACAACGTAACAATTTGTTGAAAGTAATGACCTATAATTCAAATGATACTTTCATCTCTCTACATTCGTTGAATAGAGTTGAATTCTTACATTCTTCTTTCCTTGAATCAAAAGAATTGTTTATTAAAAGGGAATGAAATTGAGGTTTGAGAGGGGCAAGTGGAGGACTGACTTAGGGAGACTTGAACTTAATAAGAAGCATTACAAATTAACATCACGTTTTCTTCGTCTTACCCGCCAATTTTGAAAAGGGGTCATTAGGCCGTTTTGCACCACTCAATCTGCCTACATAAGAACCCAGCGCCAACATTTGAATTCACAATAATCTCATTCTTAAGTCTCCTCTCAACCTTCTTAATTTCCTTCTCTCTTCCTTCTCCTTGAGTTGCATTTGGAAGTGAATGATGGGTTCCCATTATTTTGCACAAGCCCTAGCTATGGTGCTAATGCTAATTGCTTCAATGCTGGCAGTTGGCTCAACCAACAAGGATTGGCAACATGGCAACTACACTGGTTGGGGTTTCAACCATGGCCTCAACGAGACCAAAGGACCCAACAAAATCATTGTTGGTGGGTCAGAAAACTGGCATTACGGATTTGACTATAAACAATGGGCTTGGAAGAATGGCCCATTTTACATCAATGACACTCTAGGTGAGTTCGCAACTTTTTGTTCATCTTTAGCTTCCTTGAGCCTTTTGGGGCAAGTAAAAAGCTTGCTTCTGTTCAAGGATGTTTAAGTTCACTAGCATGCTGCATGCTCTAATTATACATATGAAATGTTGATATCTGTAAGTTACTCAGTTACGCTTATTACCTATATTGACAACCTGATAACACAACATAACACGTGAAATTATCAAGCAATAGAAAGTTCCTTAGTTGCATTTGTCATAATTACGTTATTCTACTGTGCAATTTGCTTCACTATAAGCAACCCTTTTTCCATGATGAACATGCAGTTTTCAAGTATGATCCACCAAATGACACCACAAGTCCTCATAGCGTGTACTTGTTCCAAAACCCTTGGAGCTTCATGAAGTGTGATTTAAGCCAAGCCAAGATGGTGGGAAAACCGACACAAGGAGGCGGAGAAGGCTTTGAGTTTGTGCTCAAGAGGTGGCGGCCTTACTACTTCGCTTGCGGCGAGCACAACGGCCTCCATTGTAAGGACGGGCTGATGAGGTTCGTCGTCTTCCCAATGTTTCGCGGCTGGCATTTCTGATCATCTGGCAATGGAGCCTTTCTAATTTTCATTATTATTAATTACTTTTTGAGCAAATAACAAGACTTGGTGTGTAAGTTTTGAGAGAGTATAGTTGATAATTTCATAATTATTAACTCTTGTTAAGTAGTGTAAGATATAATACATTATATGATACGTGTCCTGTTTTTTGTAACAGAATTTATAAATAAGCAATCAAAAATTCATTGTCTTCTTCTATTTTTTTTTTTTTTTTTTTTTTGTGTGAAACATTCTCTTCCTACTTTTATTAACCTTATTGGAAAACATACATGGAATGGAAATATTCACAACAAGGACTCCGTATCCACAATACTATTGGACTACATCAACTTGTAAGGATGATAATAGGTCCACGTCATTAACTTTCTAATTTCACTACAAAATTTATTTCGATGATCAGAACTCATACATTATTTTTGAAGAAAAAAAATTAGACAAATTAAAAATCATCCAGACTTTCTAATTGTGACCAACAAAATAAGACCAATGTGTTTAAAGAAAACACTAAAATTAGAACCATTTAAGTCAAATTTGAATTCAAGTGATTTCTCGCATAATTATTTGAAGAAAGTCTTAAAATATGGTTCATTGAAAAACATGAGGGGTTGCCAATTTTCAAACAAGTATGTTCTTATAGTTTCTTCTTCTACCCCTATAAATTCCTAATCTTTGCTTCAAGATTTATAAACCATGTTGTTTCCTTGAGATTGTTTTCTCTTCCTTTAAGTCAACTATTTGATACTTCCTATATTTTTGTAGCTTTGTTTAGGGGTGTATATGTAGATATGAGCAACAACCGTCATGCATATATTTTAGGGCTTTGTGATCATTATAGCCGAGTTAAGAATGAGATGCTAATTCTCATCTAACACATGTTGTTTGAATTCTCATTTATAATGGTTCGTATATCAATGTCATATGATTTATGTTACCTTCAATTTATTTCAAAACAGAGCTGCAAACTTCTCTTCGTTGTCTCGTTAGACTGTTTTGTATTTTTCATCATAATTATGATGGATACATTTTAAAAAGTAAATTCCTATACAAGTAATTTATACTATGAAATTTAACACTATTTGATCCAAAAAATGTTGGCGGATCCCTATTTTTTGTTGTTGTATTTATGGGTTTAAGCTGTATTATTTGTTATAAATAAAATTCATTTTTTTATTATTTCCCGATGGGCTAATAGCTGGAAATCATTAGAATGAGAGGTATCGGAAAGAATTTAAATTTTCATTCTCCAATATCACTTGTATAAATAAAATAATTGAAGAAATAACTCTAGCCCAAAGGGCTAAATTGGTATTTTTAGCCCTAAACCCTAATATGATATAACAAAAATGTATATTTAAAGGGTATAGCCGAACGGCTATACTTTCTAAATACATTCGAATATTTTAAACGTATAGCCGGACGGCTATACTCTTTAAATAGTAATATATTCGAATATTTTAAGGGTATAGCCGAACGGCTATACGCTTTAAATGTTAACAGGAAGCTTTGCACTCGCAGTCAGCCATTTCGCTTCTCTATCAGACTCAAGCTTCGATTGGTTTTCTTCGGTTTCGGCTGCTTCGTCCTACGGGTTCGGCACCGAAAAAAGACCCAACCCTCCTAGGAGGGCCGCCCAGCCGCCTAGCCCCCGCCTAGAATCCGCCTAGCCGCCTAGCGCCCGCCTAGCCTCCGCCTAGCCTCTTCCTAGCCGCCTAGCGCCCACCTAGCCTCCGCCTAGCCGCCTAGGGCCCGCCTAGCCGCCTAGCGCCCTCCTAGCCTAACATCGCCGGCTTGTTGCAGATTTTGACGGAGAAAAATCTGATAGCGGAGACAGGGTCGAGTTCCAGAGCCATAGAATTGGACCATATTCAGGAGGGGATTGAGGAGGTGACTGCCGTTCCGGAAGTGAAGGAGAAGAAGAAGAGCAGAAATGCTTTGAGGAAGGGGTCGGGAGGTGAAGAGGTCCGAGCTATGCAGGTCTGCTTGCTTTTGAAAGGCGAGTTTTGATTTTTTGGAGTCTATCGTTCATTTCTTGTGTTTTGTTTAAATTTGGCAAATTGAAAGTTGTTAACTATTGTTCTTTTCTTTTAGTATAGAAAGTTGTTAACTTTTGTTTCTTTTATTTTTCTGTAACTGGGTTTGTGTGGTTCTTTCCTTTTCTAGTGTTCGCTTCGTTTTTGGATGTAATATTTGTGATTTCGACTTGTTCCAATATAATGTTCCTGTTATTTGACAGGAAGCATTGCACAAACTAGGATTTTACTCGGGTGAGTAAGATATGGAGTTTTCCAGCTTCTCAAGCGGGACCGAACGTGCTGTGAAGACTTGGCAAGTAAGTTTCAATTATCATTAGATGTTACTATGTATAATGCATGAAGAGTAAAATTTCAGAATCATCAAGTTGAACAAAAATTTCACAACGCGAAATATATATGTTAGTCAACTTGTAATATCTTGTTTGACAGACCTCCTAAGACGCCCCTCAAGATGGCATAATGACTGCAGAACTTATTGAACAATTATATACGGTGGCAAAAATTTGGGTGGAAGAGGGAGCAAAATGTCCGTATTGTGAAGGTCATGGGTTTACAATTTAAGACGTATGTGAAGGGGCAACAGTAGCTTAGGTATGAAAATATCTTCCCATAAAGACGTGTGCAGTGTTATGCTTTAGTACATGTGTTTAATGGTAGTTTGCATTTATAAACAAATGCAGAAAATCATATGTATATCTACTGTTTGTTATACAAATCAACGGGATTTAGCTCAGTCGAAAAGGGCAATGACTTGCAAACCAGAGGTCTCATGTTCGAACCACGACATCATAGTTGTGTGTGTGTGTGTGAGAAATTCCCCTCCCCTTTAGACTATTGCTTGTACTATATATAAAAAATTAATAATTATTAAAATATCTAACTGTGACCAATAAAATAAGAACAATGTGTTTCAAGAAAACACTAAAATTACAACCATTTAATTCAAATTTGAATTCAAGTTATTTGTTGCAGAAATGATTTGAAGAAAGTCCTAAAAGGCGGTTCATTGAAAAACATGAGGGGTTGCCAATTTTCAAGCAAGCATGCTCTTATAGTTTTTTCTTCTCCTCCTATAAATTCCTAATCTTTGCTTCAAGATTTATAAACCATGTTGTTTCCTTGAGATTATTATCCCAAGGATGAGATGCTAATTCTCATCTAACACATGTTGTTTGAATTCTCATTTAGAATGGTTCATATATCAATGTCATATGATTTATGTTACCTTCAATTTATTTCAAAACAGAGCTGCAAACTTCTCTTCGTTGTCTCGTTAGACTATTTTGTATCCAATTTTTCATTTGCATAGAATACATCGCGGACTGATATATCTTATAGCAGAAGAGAAGGGTTGTCAAGTGTAATGAGAAAAAAAGGTTGTAATTGGGTATAGTTCATAATTACGATGGATACATTTTTAAAAGTAAATTCCTGTACAAGCAATTTTATACTATGAAATTCAACATTCTTTGATCTACAAAATGTTTGTGGATCCCTATTTTTTGTTGTTGTATTTATGGATTTATCCCGTATTATTTGTTATAAATAAAATCCATTTTTTTTATTCTTGCCCAATGGGCTAATAAGTGGAAATCATTAGAATGGGAGGTATCTGAAAGAAATTAAATTTTCATTCCCCATATCGCTTGTATAAATAAAATAATTGAAGAAATAACTCTAGCCCAATGGGCTAAAGTGGTATTTTAGCCCTAAACCCTAAAATGATATGACAAAAATGTATATTTAAAGGGTATCGCCGAGCGGCTATACTTTCTAAATACGTTCGAATATTTTAAAATGGTAATATATTCGAATATTTTAAGGGTATAGCCGAACGGCTATACGCTTTAAATGTTAACAGGAAGCTTTGCACTCGCAGTCAGCCATTTCGCTTCTCTATCAAACTCAAGCTTCGATTGGTTTTCTTCGGTTTCGGCTGCTTCATCCTACGGGTTCGGCACCGAAAAAAGACCCAACCCGCCTAGGAGGGCCGCCCAGCCGCCTAGCCCCCGCCTAGCCGCCTAGCGTCCGCCTAGCATCCGCCTAGCCGCCTAGCGCCCGCCTAGCATCCGCCTAGCCGCCTAGCGCCCGCCTAGCCTCCGCCTAGCCTCTTCCTAGCCGCCTAGCGCCCACCTAGCCTCCGCCTAGCCGCCTAGCGCCCTCCTAGCCTAACATCGCCGGCTTGTTGAAGATTTTAACGGAGAAAAATCTGATAGCGGAGACAGGGTCGAGTTCCAGTGCCATAGAATTGGACCATATTCAGGAGGAGATTGAGGAGGTGACTGCCGTTCCAGAAGTGAAGGAGAAGAAGAAGAGCAGAAATGCTTTGAGGAAGGGGTCGGGAGGTGAAGAGGTCCGAGCTATGCAGGTCTGCTTGCTTTTGAAAGGCGAGTTTTGATTTTTCGGAGTCTATCGTTCATTTCTTGTGTTTTGTCTTTGAATTATAAAATGGCACTTTTAAATTTGGCAAATTGAAAACTGAGCAGCATACAGTTTATTACAACTTACAAAGGGGTATTAATTTTCTTTTTAGTAGAGAAAGTTGTTAACTGTTGTTCTTTCCTTTTCTAGTGTTCGCTTCGTTTTTGGATGTAATATTTGTGATTTCGACTTGTTCTAATATAATGTTCCTGTTATTTGACAGGAAGCATTGCAAAAACTAGGATTTTACTCGGGTGAGGAAGACATGGAGTCTTCCAGCTTCTCGAGCGGACTGAACGTGCCGTCAAGACTTGGCAAGTAAGTTTCAATTATCGTTAGATGTTACTATGTATAATGCATGAAGAGTAAAATTTCAGAATCATCAAGTTGAACAAAAATTTCACAACGCGAAATATATATGTTACTCAACTTGTAATATCTTGTTTGACGCCCCTCTAGATGGCATAGTGACTGCAGAACTTCTTAAACAATTATATACGGTGGCACAAATTGAGAGTCTGGATAACAAAGGGAGTACTCTGACTGCTACGCAAAAGGTATAGCCTTCTGACGACATACCATTAGCTTTTATTAAGTGGAAGCCGTTGATGTTATAAGTTTCAGTACCAATATATCATTCCTCACTTAAGTGAGTCATTACTTGCATTCCTCAAGAGGAGCCAAAAACTCATTTGATGGTTCAATTTGAAGTGAACTAAGCCTTCATTTTCTTCAACCAGATTGTAAATAATTGTAGCAAACAGTACTAAGTACCAACCAAGAAGCTCTGTTACTTAATTGAGAAACGGACCTGAAGCTCCGACTCTATTTTCAGTAACTCAGACATCAGTTTCTTGGTTCCAGTTCATGAGACAATCACTTAACATGCAAAGAAATACGATATGACAGTGACGTAATGTGCTGTGGTAACTGGTAACACACCGCAACTTATTTTGGATACTAATAAATGAAGCTGATTATATTGGTAAACTGATTTTCTTCTCCTGGTTGGCCTTGAGCTAGCAACCTGATCATGTTCGTATAAGCTATAGCGAACCAATACATAGGCTGAAACGTCGTAATTCTTCTAATGGTTGTGTGGGTTTTGTTGTTTAGGAAGATACAAATGGAGTTGCAGTTACTTCTGCAACAGAAATTTCAGAGGTCCAGCAAACACTTGTGAAAGGTGTTACAGAAGTAGAGGTATCTGAGCATCGTGTTTTTCTCCTTGGAGAGAACCGCTGGGAAGATTCTTCTAAACTTAGCAGGAACCAAAAAAAGGGAGGTGAAAGCAAGACAATGAATACCACAACAAGGTGTCTTACTTGTCGAGGGGAGGGTCACTTATTGTGCACAGGTACCTCCTGTCTGTCTCCCGCCTTAGTCACTATATTCAAGTTTATAAACCATTGCCTTTTGCAGAAATACTCTAAATCCACCCATACTATGTATTTGTATATTTATTTTGTTTGATCTGATTTTTAAATATAATGTTGAACACCAATGGCTTTGATGATATGATTAGATTTGTTTTTTTTTTTTTTTTTTTTTTTTTTTTTTTGCTTTTTTTATTGCATTGTTTTCAACTATCCTCAGTTCCAGAATGTGATGGAACAGGCGAGCCAAACACTGAAGAACAGGTTGGAGGTTTCAAACAGAGATATTAATATTCTCATTTTCGATTATTATCCATCCAGGATGAAGTTTTAATTATTTTGTTAAATGACAGCAGTTCTTGGATTGGGGGAAAGAGGGAGCAAAATGTCCGTATTGTGAAGGTCTTGGGCAATTTAGGAGCGTTAGGTATGAAAATATCTTCCCATAAAGACGTGTGCAGTGTTATGATTTAGTACATGTGTTTAATGGTAGTTTGCATTTATAAACAAATGCCGAAAATCATATGTATATCTACTGTTTGTTATACAAATCAACGAGATTTAGCTCAGTCGAAAAGGGCAATGACTTGCAAACCAGAGGTCTCATGTTCGAACCACGACATCATAGTTGTGTGTGTGTGTGAGAAATTCCCCTCCCCTTTAGACTATTGCTTGTACTATATATAAAAAATTAATAATGAAAAAAACAAGTTGTCGTTTTACTTGGAAATAAAGAGAAAAATAAAAAGGGAAGTTGCTAATCGTCAAATTTAATACTTGATCAATAATTCAACAGACCAATTGTTATGAATACACAATATATCTCCTCGTGTAATGGAAGGCAAAGCAAGGCCAAGGGTTTAACAATTTTACCATTACTCGATAGCACGTGTAATGCAAATAATAAACCAAGAGATTTAACATTTAACTGTTATATATATTCTCATTTCTTTATATGGTATTCTAGGAATTCTTAAAAAATTATATAAAAAAGAATTAATCTATTCGAGCATTTTGAGCACTAATATCGCTTGTATAAATAAAATAATAGAAGAAATAACTCTAGCCTAGTAGGCTAAAATGGTATTGTAGCCCTAAACCCTTAAATAATAAGATAAAATTGTTTTAAAAGTATAGCCGCACGGCTATACGCTTTAAATACATTTGAATATTTTAAAAGTATAGCCGCACGGCTATACCCTTTAAATATATTCCTCAAGAACACGAAGCTTGCACTCGCAGAGGAATGTGGTGCGCGAGTGAAATGAAGGGACAAATAAACGAACACAAAGTTGCACTCGCAGTCATAGCCATTTCGCTTCTCTATAAGCACTTCGAGGCTTCGAAGACTCAGTCTTGAGCCTCTCTCTCAACTCAAGCTTCGATTATTTATATATTTTTTTTGGGTTTCGGCTACTGCATTGATTCCATTGGATTGGGCTTTCTCAATGTCTGCCAAGGCAGAGCCTTCTGTCCTCTGAGTCCCTGCGCCCTCCTAGCGACCGCCTAGCCGCTCGCCTAGGCCGATTTGTCGAACATTGCGATTGACTGAAAGTCTGAAACCCGAAATTGAAAAAATTTAGCTGCAAATTTGAGCTTGAGATTTGGCATCCAATGCCGTGAAGCACAAGTCAGGTCCATAGAAGAAGAGATCATGAGACTTTAATTCATCTAATTCCATTCCTCTCCTTGTTTCCCACCTTATTCTCTTCTCTCTTGGCTCTCTCCCAAACGACATGTTCGCCTCACCACTCCAACGACAACAACAACAATTCCTCCCTCTGCTAACTCTACCTTATTCTCTTCTCTCTTTGCATTGACGACATGGCTCAGAAGAAAAAAAAATACAAAATTTGCTGACTTGGTGTCTGTCTTTAGTGAAAGGAAAATGATGTAGCTATCCGATCATGGAGTTTCTATGGTCTTGCCAATAACAAGGTTCGGTTTTTAGGCCCCAATCTCAAATTCTGACTATTTATTTCTGGTTTGGTTAAGCGACAGGTTGATTGGTTTGGTTCTTCTTGTTTGAAGCTTGATAAATCTTTATGCATTCAACATTCATCCATTGATGGTTCTTCTTGGTTGGACTGCTTTTCATGTAAGAATTTAAGATCAAACAAGCTTTAAGTACAAACCTTGAGAAGCCATGAGAACTGGATAGAAGAGATCTTGAGCAGTAAGCAAAGGTCTTCCAATCTTTCTACACGCCTTATGCACTCCTAATATGAGGTATGACTTGTATGCTTGAATGTGTATAAGATTGGGGACCTAAACATTGTTTTTATAGGTGATTTGACCTGGGTTTCTTGCCCATAAAAGATCACCTAAATCATGCCTTAATCACCTCTAGAATCCACGACAGAATAGGATAGATATCTCCTTTTATTTTATTCTTTCTTCATCTCCAAGTATTCAACTAATCAAATAAAAACTTTCCACTTTTATACCTTAACATATTCTGTGCCTTAAATAGATGCAAACTCAGTAAGGGTCTTACATTCTCCCACTTGAGTGCAATATCTATTTAAAACACTTCCTTATTGCCTGAGAATCGATTCCTTATGTGCATAGTTTGGAAAGCTCATTTGATAAGGATATCTATATCAAACTATGTATCAAATTTCATCAACTCATATGATTGCAGACATGATTCCAAATGATATGGTAGCATCCACCTACAATCACCATAAGCAACAATATCCACATAAGGTACCAACAAGTCATGGTTATGTTCGCATATATCAAAAGTGCTAAACTGTATGAAGTATATCATTCCTGATATATGAATGGTCCACTTTATAACCACTTAGTGGTTTAACTTTAATGCAGAGCTCCTTAATGTTTATAAACAGTCCTCACTCATATTGCAAAAATTCAACAGAATCAGAATCAAAATACTCACTCATGTTGTCAAATAACATGAAAGCGCAATACCAAAACATTTAAAATAAGAACAATACTGTCGGACTATATCAACTCGTAAGGATGATAATAGGTCCACGTCATTAACTATCTAATTTCACTACAAAATTTATTTCAACGATCGGAACTCATATGTTATTTTTGGAGAAAAAAATTAGACAAATTAAAAATTATTAAAACATCTAACTGTGACCAATAAAAATAAGAACAATGTGTTTCAAGAAAACACTAAAATTACAACCATTTAATTCAAATTTGAATTCAAGTGATTTGTTGCAGAAATGATTTGAAGAAAGTCCTAAAAGGCGGGTCATTGAAAAACATGAGGGGTTGCCAATTTTCAAGCAAGCATGCTCTTAGAGTTTTTTCTTCTCCTCCTATAAATTCCTAATCTTTGCTTCAAGATTTATAAACCATGTTGTTTCCTTGAGATTGTTATCTCAAGGAGGAGATGCTAATTCTCATCTAACACATGTTGTTTGAATTCTCATTTAGAATGGTTCGTATATCAATGTAATATGATTTATGTTACCTTCAATTTATTTCAAAATAGTTACAAACTTCTCTTCATTGTCTCGTTAGACTGTTTTGTATCCAATTTTTCATCTACATAGAATACATCGCAGACTAATATATCTCATAGCAGAAGAGAAGGGTTGTCAAGTGCAATGAGAAAAAAAGTCTGTAATTGGGTTCAGTTCATAATTATGATTGATACATTTTAAAAAGTAAATTCCCATACAAGTAATTTTATACTATGAAATTCAACATTATTTAATCCAAAATGTTGGCGGATCCCTATTTGTTGTTGTTGTTTTTATGGGTTTAACCGGTATTATATGTTATAAATAAAATCCATTTTTTTATTCTTTCCTAATAGCTGGAAATCATTAGAATGAGAGGTATCAGAAAGAATTTAAATTTTAATTCCCCAATATCGCTTGTATAAATAAAATAATTGAAGAAATAACTCTAGCCCAAAGGACTAAAGTGGTATTTTAGGCCTAAACCCTAAAATGATATGACAAAAATGTAGATTTAAAGGGTATAGCCGATCGGCTATACTTTCTAAATACATTCGAATATTTTAAAAGTTTAGCCGGACGGCTAGACTCTTTAAATAGTAATATATTCGAATATTTTAAGAGTCTAGCCGACCGGCCAAACTCTTTAAATATTAACACGAAGCTTACACTCGCAGTCAGCCATTTCGCTTCTCTATCAAACTCAAGCTTCGATTGGTTTTCTTCGGTTTCGGCTGCTTCGTCCTGCGGGTTCGGCACCGGAAAAAGACCCAACCCGCCTAGGAGGGCCGCCCAGCCGCCTAGCCCCCGCCTAGCCGCCTAGCGCCCGCCTAGCACCCGCCTAGCATCCGCCTAGCCGTCTAGCGCCCGCGTAGCCTCTTCCTAGCCGCCTAGCGCCCACCTAGCCTCCGCCTAGCCCCCTAGGGCCCGCCTAGCCGCCTAGCGCCCTCCTAGCCAAACATCGCCAGCTTGTTGCAGATTTTAACAGAGAAAAATCTAATAGCGGAGACAGGGTCGAGTTCCAGAGCCATAAAATTGGACCATATTCAGGAGGAGATTGAGGAGGTGACTGCCGTTCCGGAAGTGAATGAGAAGAAGAAGAGCAGAAATGCTTTGAGGAAGGTGTCGGGAGGTGAAGAGGTCCGAGCTATGCAGGTCTGCTTGCTTTTGAAAGGCGAGTTTTGATTTTTCGGAGTCTATCGTTCATTTCTTGTGTTTTGTTTATGATACTTTTAAATTTGGAAAATTGAAAACTGAGCAGCATACAGTTTATTACAACTTACAAGGGGGTATTAAATTTCTTCTTAGTATGGAAAGTTGTTAACTTTTGTTTCTTTTCTTTTTCTGTAACAGGGTTTCTTTTTCTGTAATTTTTGGATGTAATATTTGTGATTTCGATCTGTTATTTGACAGAAAGCATTGCAAAAACTAGGATTTTACTCGGGTGAGGAAGACATGGAGTCTTCCAGCTTCTCGAGCGGGATCCAACGTGCTGTCAAGACTTGGCAAGTAAGTTTCAATTATCATTAGATGTTACTATGTATAATGCATAAAGAGTAAAATTTCAGAATCATCAAGTTGAACAAAAATTTCATATATATGTTAGTCAACTTGTAATATCTTGTTTGACAGGCCTCCTTAGACGCCCCTCAAGATGGCATAATGACTGCAGAACTTCTTGAACAATTATATACGGTGGCACAAATTGAGGGTCTGGATAACAAAGGGAGTACTCTGACTGCTACACAAAAGGTATAGCCTTCTGACGACATACCATTAGCCTTTATTAAGTGGAAGCCGTTGATGTTTTAAGTTTCAGTACCAATATATCATTCCTCACTTGGAACTGAACATAATGGTTTGGTAAGTCATTACTTGCATTCCTCAAGAGGAGCCAAAAACTCATTTGATGGTTCAATTTGAAGTGAACTAAGCCTTCATTTTCTTCAACCAGATTGTAAAGAATTGTAGCAAACAGTACTAAGTTCCAACCAAGAAGCTCTGTTACTTAATTGAGAAACGACCTGAAGCTCCGACTCTATTTTCAGTAACTCAGACATGAGGTTTCTTGGTTCCAGTTCATGAGACAATCACTTAACATGCAAATAAATACGATATGACAGTGACGTAATGTGCTGTGGTAACTGGTAACACACCGTAACTTATTTTGGATACTAATAAATGAAGCTGATTATATAAACTGATTTTCTTCTCCTGGTTGGCCTTGAGCTAGCAACCTGATCATGTTCGTATAAGCTATAGCGAACCACTACATAGGCTGAAACATCGTAATTCTTCTATGGTTGCGTGGGTTCTGTTGTTTAGGAAGATACAAATGGAGCTGCAGTTACTTCTGCAACAGAAATTTCAGAGGTCCAGCAAACACTTGTGAAAGAAGGTGTTACAGAAGTAGAGGTATCTGAGCATCATGTTTTTCTCCTTGGAGAGAACCGCTGGGAAGATTCTTTTAAACTTAGCAGGAACCAAAAAAAAGGAGGTGAAAGCAAGACAATGAATACCACAACAAGGTGTCTTACTTGTCGAGGGGAGGGTCGCTTATTGTGCACAGGTACCTCCTGTCTGTCTCCCGTCTTAGTCACTATATTCAAGTTTATAAACCATTGCCTTGCTACGCTAAACTTTTGCAGAAGTACTCTAAATCCACCCATACTATGTATTTGTGTATTTATTTTGTTTGATCTGATTTTTAAATATAATGTTGAACACCAATGGCTTTGATGATGATATGCATTAGTTTTATTTTTGTACTTCTGCATATTTTGTTTCAACTATCCTCAGTCCCCTTGGTAGCTTATCTGTATTTCTTTGTTGCAGAATGTGATGGAACAGGTGAGCCAAACATTGAAGAACAGGTTAGAGGTTTCAAAATGAGATATTAATATTCTCATTTTCGAGCATTATCCATCCAGGATGAAGTTTTAATTATTTTGTTAAATGACAGCCGTTCTTGGATTGGGTGGAAGAGGGAGCAAAATGTCCATATTGTGAAGGTCATGGGTTTACAATTTGCGACGTATTAATATTTCTCTAATTCAACAAATTAATAATTTATTTTATAAAGCAATAATTTAGATTATTTTAATGTACAGAGAGGAGATCGGACTCTAATCCAAATGAACGAACATACCGCTTATTTCAACAAATTAATATTTTATTTTATTAGGAAATATTTTGAATTATTTTACTATACGAAGAAGATATCAAACTTTTATGCAAACGAACGAAACATACCCCCTTATCCAACTGACCTAACTCATATACATTTCAACAAATTGATATAATAAAAAAGTGCTATGCCGTGCCAAATTGAAGCATATGTTTGAACATGTATGCTATGTCAAGTTTTGAACATGTATGGTGATCTTAGTCCAGGACAACAAATTAATATTTTAGATTATTGTAACGTACGGAGAGGAGATCGGACGCAAATGCAAATAAACGAACATACCAGTTATTTCAACAAATTATTATTTTATTTTATTTTAAATTATTTTAATATACGAAAAGAAGATTAGACTCATATGCAAACGAATGAACATACTGCCTTAGTCAACTAACCTAACTCATATCTACATTTCAAAAAATTGATATAATAAAAAAGTGTTATGCCGTGCCAAGTTGAAGCATCTATTCGAACATGTATGCTATGTCAAGTTTTGAACATGTATGATGATCTCAATCCAGGTCAACAAATTAATATTTTATTTTATCAACCAATATTTTAGATTATTTTAATATTTAATATACGAATAGGAGATCGGACTCAGATGCAAACGAACGAACATATCGTTTATTTCAACAAATTAATATTTTATTTTGTCAAGAAATATTTTAAATTATTTTAATATATGAAGAGGAGATCGAACATACCGCCTTAGCCAACTAACCTAACTTATATCTACATTTCAACAAATTGATATAATAAAAAAGTGTTATGCCGTGCCAAGTTGAAGCATCTGTTCGAACATGTATTTGAACAGTATGATGATCTCAGTCCAAATTTGCAAAGTCTTGAACATGGTTAGCAATGCCTAATTTTCCATTTCACATTAAAAACATATTTAAATAAACTTTTATGCTAAAAAGAAATAGTAAAAAAGGATAGCCCATTTGCATTTGGTTGACTCCCTCTAGATTTGATGGAGAAAATTCCCTCCACTATCATTCACCTATCTCATTCATTTTTAGAAATTTTGTTTTGCTACATTTTTCTTCATATCATTTCAACGAAATTGCTGGTTATTTGTTTTTATACTGTTAATTAAACTTCATTGGAGCCTCTCTAATGCATGTTTCAAATGTACAAAGCAAAAGTGTACTTTTGGGTATTGTATATTTTCCGTGAAGAAGAGGTACGGTAAAATTTGCTAACCTTTCTAACCACATCTGCAATAGTTGGAGTTACTCTTAGGGAAGTCAATTTGCGATACCTCTTTTAGAATTTTGCATTTTGTTTATTTTTCCACCTTAAAATTTTGCAATATGTGTTACAACTTACAACGTAACAATTTGTTGAAAGTAATGACCTATAATTCAAATGATACTTTCATCTCTCTACATTCGTTGAATAGAGTTGAATTCTTACATTCTTCTTCCCTTGAATCAAAAGAATTGTTTATTAAAAGGGAATGAAATTGAGGTTTGAGAGGGGCAAGTGGAGGACTGACTTAGGGAGACTTGAACTTAATAAGAAGCATTACAAATTAACATCACGTTTTCTTCGTCTTACCCGCCAATTTTGAAAAGGGGTCATTAGGCCGTTTTGCACCACTCAATCTGCCTACATAAGAACCCAGCGCCAACATTTGAATTCACAATAATCTCATTCTTAAGTCTCCTCCTCTCAACCCTCTTAATTTCCTTCTCTCTTCCTTCTCCTTGAGTTGCATTTGGAAGTGAATGATGGGTTCCCATTATTTTGCACAAGCCCTGGCTATGGTGCTAATGCTAATTGCTTCAATGCTGGCAGTTGGCTCAACCAACAAGGATTGGCAACATGGCAACTACACGGGTTGGGGTTTCAACCATGGCCTCAACGAGACCAAAGGACCCAACAAAATCATTGTTGGTGGGTCAGAAAACTGGCATTACGGATTTGACTATAAACAATGGGCTTGGAAGAATGGCCCATTTTACATCAATGACACTCTAGGTGAGTTCGCAACTTTTTGTTCATCTTTAGCTTCCTTGAGCCTTTTTGGGGCAAGTAAAAAGCTTGCTTCTGTTCAAGGATGTTTAAGTTCACTAGCATGCTGCATGCTCTAATTATACATATGAAATGTTGTCTTCTACCTATATTGACAACCTGATAACACAACATAACACGTGAAATTATCAAGCAATAGAAAGTTCCCTTAGTTACATTTGTCATAATTACGTTTATTCTACTGTGCAATTTGCTTCACTATAAGCAACCCTTTTTCAATGATGAACATGCAGTTTTCAAGTATGATCCACCAAATGACACCACACGTCCTCATAGCGTGTACTTGTTCCAAAACCCTTGGAGCTTCATGAAGTGTGATTTAAGCCAAGCCAAGATGGTGGGAAAACCGACACAAGGAGGCGGAGAAGGCTTTGAGTTTGTGCTCAAGAGGTGGCAGCCTTACTACTTCGCTTGCGGCGAGCACAACGGCCTCCATTGTAAGGACGGGCTGATGAGGTTCGTCGTCTTCCCAATGTTTCGCGGCTGGCATTACTGATCATCTGGCAATGGAGCCTTTCAAATTTCCATTATTATTAATTACTTTTTGAGCAAATAACAAGACTTGGTGTGTAAGTTTTGAGAGAGTATAGTTGATAATTTCATAATTATTAACTCTTGTTAAGTAGTGTAAGATATAATACATTATACGGTACGTGTCCTGTTTTTTGTAACAGAATTTATAAATAAGCAATCAAAAATTCATTGTCTTCTTCTTTTATTTTTTTTTTTTTTTTTTTTTTTGTTTTGTGTTCTCTTCCTACTTTTATTAACCTTATAGGAAAACATACATGGAATGGAAATATTCACAACAAGGACTCCGTATCCACAATACTATTGGACTACATCAACTTGTAAGGATGATAATAGGTCCACGTCATTAACTTTCTAATTTCACTACAAAATTTATTTCGATGATCAGAACTCATACATTATTTTTGAAGAAAAAAATTAGACAAATTAAAAATCATCCTGACTTCTAATTGTGACCAACAAAATAAGACCAATGTGTTTCAAGAAAACACTAAAATTAGAACCATTTAAGTCAAATTTGAATTCAAGTGATTTCTCGCATAATTATTTGAAGAAAGTCTTAAAATATGGTTCATTGAAAAACATGAGGGGTTGCCAATTTTCAAACAAGTATGCTCTTATAGTTTCTTCTTCTACCCCTATAAATTCCTAATCTTTGCTTCAAGATTTATAAACCATGTTGTTTCCTTGAGATTGTTTTCTCTTCCTTTAAGTCAACTATTTGATACTTCCTATATTTTTGTAGCTTTGTTTAGGGGTGTATATGTAGATATGAGCAACAACCGTCATGCATATATTTTAGGGCTTTGTCATCATTATAGCCGAGTTAAGAATGAGATGCTAATTCTCATCTAACACATGTTGTTTGAATTCTCATTTATAATGGTTCGTATATCAATGTCATATGATTTATGTTACCTTCCATTTATTTTGAAAACAGAGCTGTAAACTTCTCTTCGTTGTCTCGTTAGACTGTTTTGTATTTTTCATCATAATTATGATGGATACATTTTAAAAAGTAAATTCCTATACAAGTAATTTTATACTATGAAATTCAACATTATTTCATCCAAAAAATCATTAGAATGAGAGGTATCAGAAAGAATTTAAATTTTCATTCTCCAATATCACTTATATAAATAAAATAATTAAGAAATAACTCTAGCCCAAAGGGCTAAATTGGTATTTTAGCCCTAAACCCTAATATGATATAACAAAAATGTATATTTAAAGGGTACAGCCGAACGGCTATACTCTCTAAATACATTCGAATATTTTAAACGTATAGCCGGACGGCTATATTCTTTAAATAGTAATATATTCGAATATTTTAAGGGTATAGCCACGCGGCTATACGTTTTAAATGTTAACAGGAAGCTCGCACTCGCAGTCAGCCATTTCGCTTCTCTATCAAACTCAAGCTTCGATTGGTTATCTTCGGTTTCGGCTGCTTCGTCCTACGGGTTCGGCACCGAAAAAAGACCCAACCCGCCTAGGAGGGCCGCCCAGCCGCCTAGCCCCCGCCTAGCCGCCTAGCGCCCGCCTAGCATCCGCCTAGCCGCCTAGCGCCCCGCCTAGCATCCGCCTAGCCGCCTAGCACCCGCCTAGCCTCTTCCTAGCCGCCCAGCGCCCGCCTAGCCCCCGCCTAGCAGCCTAGAGCTCGCCTTGTCCAACATCGCCGGCTTGTTGCAGATTTTGACGGAGAAAAATCCGATAGCGGAGACAGGGTCGAGTTCCAGAGCCGTAGAATTAGACCATATTCAGGAGGAGATTGAGGAGGTGTCTGCCGTTCCAGAAGTGAAGGAGAAGAAGAAGAGCAGAAATGCTTTGAGGAAGGGGTCGGGAGGTGAAGAGGTCCGAGCTATGCAGGTCTGCTTGCTTTTGAAAGGCGAGTTTTGATTTTTCGGAGTCTCATTCATTTCTTGTGTTTTGTTTATGATTTAGTGTTGTCTTTGAATTATAAAATGGCACTTTTAAATTTGGCTAATTGAAAACTGAGCAGCATACAGTTTACAAGGGGGTATTAACTTTTAAATTTGGCAAATTGAAAGTTGTTAACTGTTGTTCTTTTCTTTTTAGTATAGAAAGTTGTTAACTTTTGTTTCTTTTCTTTTTCTGTAACTGGGTTCTCTCATTTTCTAGTGTTCGCTTCGTTTTTGGATGTAATATTTGTGATTTCGACTTGTTCCAACATAATGTTATTTGACAGGAAGCATTGCAAAAACTAGGATTTTACTCGGGTGAGTAAGACATGGAGTTTTCCAGCTTCTCAAGCGGGACCAAACGTGCTGTGAAGACTTGGCAAGTAAGTTTCAATTATCATTAGATGTTACTATGTATAATGCATGAAGAGTAAAATTTTTGAACAAAAATTTCACAACGCGAAATATATATGTTAGTCAACTTGTAATATCTTGTTTGACAGACCTCCTAAGATGCCCCTCAAGATGGCATAATGACTGCAGAACTTATTGAACAATTATATACAGTGGCACAAATTTAGGGTCTGGATAACAGAGGTATAGCCTTCTGACGACATACCATTAGCCTTTATTAAGTGGAAGCCGTTGATATTTTAAGTTTCAGTGCCAATATATCATTCCTCACTTACAACTGAACATAATCGTTTGGTAAGTCATTACTTGCATTCCTCAAGAGGAGCCAAAAACTCATTTGATAGTTCAATTTGAAGTGAACTAAGCCTTCATTTTCTTCAACCAGATTGTAAAGAATTGTAGCAAACAGTACTAAGTACCAACCAAGAAGCTCTGTTACTTAATTGAGAAACGGACCTGAAGCTCCGACTCAATTTTCAGTAACTCAGACATGAGGTTTCTTGGTTCCAGTTCATGAGACAATCACTCAACATGCAAATAAATACGATATGACAGTGACGTAATGTGCTGTGGTAACTGGTAACACACCGTAACTTATTTTGGATACTAATAAATGAAGCTGATTATATTGGTAAACTGATTTTGTTCTCCTGGTTGGCCTTGAGCTAGCAACCTGATCATGTTCGTATGAGCTATAGCGAACCACTACATAAGCTGAAACATCGTAATTCTTCTAATGGTTGCGTGGGTTTTGTTGTTTAGGAAGATACAATGGATCTGCAGTTACTTCTGCAACAGAAATTTCAGAGGTCCAGCAAACACTTGTGAAAGAAGGTGTTACAGAAGTAGAGGTATCTGAGCATCGTGTTTTTCCCCTTGGAGAGAACCGCTGGGAAGATTCTTCTAGACTTAGCAGGAACCCAAAAAAAGGAGGTGAAAGCAAGACAATGAATACCACAACAAGGTGTCTTACTTGTCGAGGGAAGGGTCGCTTATTGTGCACGGGTACCTCCTGTCTGTCTCCCGTCTTAGTCACTATATTCAATTTTATAAACCATTGCCTTGCTACGCTAAACTTTTGCAGAAGTACTCTAAATCCACCCATACTATGTATTTGTGTATTTATTTTGTTTGATCTGATTTTTAAATATAATGTTGAACACCAATGGCTTTGATGATGATATGCATTAGTTTTATTTTTGTACTTCTGCATATTTTGTTTCAACTATCCTCAGTCCCCTTGGTAGCTTATCTGTATTTCTTTGTTGCAGAATGTGATGGAACAGGCGAGCCAAACATTGAAGAACAGGTTAGAGGTTTCAAACAGAGATATTAATATTCTCATTTTAGAGGTTTCAAACATGATACGTGTCCTGTTTTTTGTAACAGAATTTATAAATAAGCAATCAAAAATTCATTGTCTTCCTACTATTTTTTTTTTCGTGTGAAACATTATCTTCCTACTTTTATTAACCTTATAGGAAAACATCCATGGAATGGAAATATTCACAACAAGGACTCCGTATCCACAATACTATTGGACTACATCAACTTGTAAGGATGATAATAGGTCCACGTCATTAACTTTCTAATTTCACTACAAATTTATTTCAATGATCGGAACTCATACATTATTTTTGAAGAAAAAAATTAGACAAATTAAAAATCATCCAGACTTCTAATTGTGACCAACAAAATAAGCCAAAAACTCATTTGATGGTTCAATTTGAAGTGAACTAAGCCTTCATTTTCTTCAACCATATTGTAAAGAATTGTAGGAAACAGTACTAAGTACCAACCAAGAAGCTCTGCTACTTAATTGAGAAACGGACCTGAAGCTCCGACTCTATTTTCAATAACTCAGACATGAGGTTTCTTGGTTCCAGTTCATGACACAATCACTCAACATGCAAATAAATACGATATGACTGTGACGTAATGTGCTGTGGTAACGGTAACACACCGTAACTTATTTTGGATACTAATAAATGAAGCTGATTATATTGGTAAACTGATTTTGTTCTCCTGGTTGGCCTTGCTAGCAACCTGATCATGTTTGTATGAGCTATAGCGAACCACTACATAGGCTGAAACATCGTAATTCTTCTAATGGTTGCATGGGTTCTGTTGTTTAGGAAGATACTCTAAACTTTTGCCTTGCTACGCTAAACTTTTGCAGAAGTACTCTAAATCCACCCATACTATGTATTTGTGTATTTATTTTGTTTGATCTGATTTTTAAATTTATGTTGAACACCAATGGCTTTGATGATGATATGCATTAGTTTTATTTTTGTACTTCTGCATATTTTGTTTCAACTATCCTCAGTCCCCTTGGTAGCTTATCTGTATTTCTTTGTTGCAGAATGTGATGGAACAGGCGAGCCAAACATTGAAGAACAGGTTAGAGGTTTCAAACAGAGATATTAATATTCTCATTTTCGAGCATTATCCATCCAGGATGAAGTTTTAATTATTTTGTTAAATGACAGCAGTTCTTGGATTGGGTGGAAGAGGGAGCAAAATGTCCATATTGTGAAGGTCATGGGTTTACAATTTGCGACGTATGTGAAGGGGCAACAGTAGCTTAGGTATGAAAATATCTTCCCATAAAGACATGTGCAGTTTTATGCTTTAGTACATGTGTTTAATGGTAGTTTGCATTTATAAACAAATGCAGAAAATCATATGTATATTTACTGTTTATTATACAAGTCAACGGGGTCTAGCTCAGTGGAAAAGGGCAATGACTTGCAAACCAGAGATCTCATGTTCGAACCATGACATCATAGTTGTGTGTGAGAAATCTTTCTCCCCTTTAGACTATTGCTTGTACTATATAAAAAAATTAATTAAAAAAAAAACAAGTTCACGTTGTACTTGGAAATTAAAGCGAAAAATAAAAAGGGAGTTGCCAATCGGCAAATTTAATACTTGATCAATAATTCAACAGACCAATTGTTATGAATACACACTATCTCCTCGTGTAATGGAAGGCAAAGCAAGGCCAGCATGAAGTAAGAATTTTTGGCATGGAGTTACTGAGCTCTTTTCCCATCTCTCTGTGATTGTTGGCTGGGGTAACAATTTTTACCTTAATAAGATGAAAACCAAATCCAGCATGAAGTAAGTTAAGTTAACCATTACTCGATAGGACGTGTTACTGCAAATAATAAACCGAGAGATTTAACATTTAACTGTTATATATTTTATCATTTCTTTATATGGTGTTCTAGGAATTCTTAAAATATTATATAAAAAAGAATAATCTATTCGAGCATTTTGAGCACTAATATCGCTTGTATAAATAAAATAATTGAAGAAATAACTCTAGCCCAGTAGGCTAAAATGGTTTAAAAGTATTACTCTTTAAATACATTTGAATATTTTAAAAGTATAGCCGGCTATACTTATTCCTCAAGAACACGAAGCTTGCACTCGCAGAGGAATGTGGTGCACGAGTGAAATGAAGGGACAAATAAATGAACACGAAGTTGCACTCGTAGTCAACCATTTCGCTTCTCTATAAGCACTTCCAAGCTCGAAGACTCGGTTTTGATCCTCTCTCTCAACTCAAGCTTCGATTATTTATTTTTATTTTTTTTGGGTTTCGGCTGCTGCGTTGATTCCATTGGATTGGGCTTTCTCAATGTCTGCCAAGGCAGAGCCTTCTGTCCTCTGAGTCCTTGCGCCCTCCTGGCAATGGCGGTTCCAGGATTCGAAAGCCGACCGGGCAAAATTTATGTAATAAACTCGACGGTACGAGTGAATTTCATTAATAAACATAAAAAGATACACCTAGTCAGGGGGGACATAATGAGCCTTACCCTCAAATGCATCTAGATCTACAAATACAAAAACTAAAAGAAGAACAAAAGTTAATGCAATGCAATGCAATACAAAACAACATTATTTAAATCTAAAATCTAACCCCCTACGAGGCTTAGAACTCTTAAATTCCTCAATTATGGATGCTTTGTCAATAGCATTGGCAAACTCTCTTTCAATGTGGAGGATCATACAATCACCAAGAAATTCATCACTTATGGTGCTTCGAAGTCGATTCTTAATAATTCTTATACATGAGAAAGCTCGTTCCGTTGTTGCTGTAGAAACAAGAAGAGTCAACACCAACCGAACCAACCTGTCAATCAAATAGTAGTTTTCCCCCAAAGTTGTTTCCGCCAATTGTTGACATAACTGAGGAAGAGTAGTGATTTCCTTAAATCATGGAAGACGTTTTATATCATTCTGAAAATACTTGAGCTCTACTTCTAAAGCTTTCAACTCATGAGGAAGGAAATCAGCAGGATAGAATTTTTGAGCAAGTTTACATATATGCTCAATATTGAATGACATGAAACAATTACGCGGATCCAATGCTGAGCTAAGAGTAAGAAGTTCAATTGTTTGCTCCGGAAATCTATCATTTAACTTCCTCATCATGCAATCTATAACATCATTAAATACATCAATTCGATAGGCATGCTCAATTGTAATAAAATCTTTTTGTTGGGAAGAACGACGTGTGCCCGTCATATAACGACCACCCATATCAGGAACATCAACACAATGTAGTTCACAAAATGATACCACACTCATGAAAAAATCATCCCAACCATTTTCCCTCATATCTTCAAGTTGCATTTTTGTGTTCTCAACAAAATTTAAAGCACTTACAATGTCTTCAGTTTTCGTCTGAAATGCTTGACAAAGAAAATTGGTCAATCCCATAATTTTCTCCATCAAAACCAATGAAAACACAAACTCAAAAGACATCATAGCAATATAGTTACTCTTCTGCATCGCCACGAAACTGTTGGTTAGGTCCATGATCACTAATTTCCAAAAGAAGTAATTTAGTCTCTTTAAATAGACTCATCAAACTTGTAATAGAGGCAAAATGAGATCCCCAACGAGTTGCTCCAACTCGTTTCCAAGTACGAGCTTGATTAAGTCCTTTACCCGTCTCAAGTTCTCCAGAATCCAACAACTCCTTGAGTTCAGTTTTTCGAATTAAGTTTAACTCATTACGGCGCTTAGCAGAAGCACTTACAAAATTCACAATGTTAGTCAGCATTAAAAAAAATCTCCATACAACTTTCACATCTTTAGCTGCGCCATTTAATGCTAATTGCAAGCGATGAGCAAAACAATGCACATAATATGCATATGGACAATCTTCAAGAAACAATGCTTGTAATCCATTCCATGAACCACGCATATTACTAGCACCATCATACCCTTGACCACGCATGTTTTCCACTAGAATGCCATTATTACCAAGCACTTTGCATATCTCTTTTTTAAGAGTCAAGGCATTAGTGTTTGCAACACTCACAATGTCGAAAAAATGCTCACGAATAAATCCTTGACCATCAACAAATCTTAGAATAATAGCCATTTGTTCTTTACCCGATTCATCAAGTGATTCATCAACAAGAATACAAAATTTGTTCATCCCAAGTTCTCTACAAATTGTCTTCCTCACCTTGGTAGTAAAAATATGCAAGATTTGTTTTTGTATGTCATTGGAAATATACTAAGCATTTTGAGGAGCCTTATCTAGGACAACTTTCTCAACTTTCATATTCATTCTTGCAAAACACTTTATGATTTCAACGAAATTGCCTCGATTAGATGAGCCAATAGATTCATCATGGCCTCGAAAAGCCAATGCTTGATTTGCTAGATACCTAATGCCCTCTATTGTGGTTGTAAGTCGCAACCGATTGTCCATCACTTGTTGATTTGATTGCTTTTCTACCACTTTTTCAATATGAACATAAGGATTTTTTAAGCCAATCCACTTTTGCATAGAAAGATGATGTGGTGAATTTAGTTTGCCTACATGATGTTGAAATGCACAATGATTCCCACCAATTCTCTTCCAACTTTGAAACCCATCAACAGTAAAGGCCGGAAATGATTGAGTCCTATCAAATAGGAAACAAGGAAAACAAAATGCCTTGTTCTTAGCAACTGAATACTCAAGCCAAGAGAATTGACCAAACCACTTTTTATTAAATCGACGTAAGATTTTCCCTTCTAAGTGGCTTGGATAATCTTCTAACTCGGGTTGACATGGCCCTAAAAGAATATATGCTCTTCGCACATTATTTTGTTCATTCACTGAATATTTGCATATTAGACGACGTAATCCTGGATCACGTTCAAGATAATTGATATTAAAATCTTGATCATCATTAACTCTTTGACTCTCAACTCTTTCAACTTGAGGCTCAACAATGGGAGACTCGGGAAGATTTTGCTCATCACAAATTAGAGGAGTAGATAAAGAAGTGCTAGGCATCGTATTAGATGATGACCCACCATCATTCTTTTTCTTAAAAAAAGACAACAAGTTCTTTATTTTCTTGGGGTTCCGATTGTGATCCGACATAATAAAAGATAACCTATAAATAATATGTACAAATTATTTTAGTCAAACATGTCAACAACAACAAAACTAATTATCATAATATAATCAATGCATTTAATCAAACATACCAACACAACACACAAATCAAACATCTCAACAATACCAACAACAAATTAAACATCATAACAATACCAACAACAAATTAAATATCTCAACAAAATTCCTAAAATCAAAGCCCTAATTAATTTCAACAAAATCTCCCAATTAGAATTCATTCCTAATTAAACCCTAGAATATTTTCTATTCAAATTAAAGAGCATAAGATAATTAAAATGAGAGAATGAGAGAAGAATACTTGTTGCCAAGAAGAGAAGTTGCCCCTGCAAAGAAGTTGAGAGTTGAGTTGATGGTGGCTTAAGGTTGAGCTTGAGACGGAGAGGGAAGTGCTGATATTTTTCACAGAGAGTGAAGTTTCTGTTTGGTGGCTGACTGCACGCGGGTTCACTTCAGATTTTAATTTTGGCTGTTGCACTTGCAGTGTATATATTATTTGTTTAAGTGGGCTTGTTTAAGTGAGTGGGCTACTTGCCTTTGAATTATTGGCTGGGCAAGTTTTTTTTTTTTTTTTTTTTGTCAAAATTTTGGGTCAGGCATGAGCCCAGCCAGCCCATGGCTAGAACCGCCACTGCCTCCTAGCAACCGCCTAGCCGCTCGCCTAGGCCGATTTTTTGAACACTGCGATTGGCTGAAAGTCTGAAACCCGAAATTGAAAAAATTTAGCTATAAATTTGAGCTTGAGATTTGGCATCCAATGTCATGAAGCACAAGTTTGGTCCATAGAAGAAGAGATCATGAGACTCTTAATTCATCTAATTCCATTCCTCTCCCTGTTTCCCACCTTATTCTCTTCTCTCTTCGCTCTCTCCCAAACGACATGTTCGCCTCACCACTCCAGCAACAACGACAACAATTCCTCCCTCACCTTATTCTCTTCTCTCTTTGCATTGACGACATGGCTCATAAGAAAAAAATACAAAATTTGATGACTTGGTGTCTGTCTTTAGTGAAAGGAAAATGATGAAGCTATCCTATCATCGAGTTTCTATGGTCTTGCTAATAACAAGGTTCGGTTTTTAGGCCCCAATCTCAAATTTTGACTATTTATTTCTGGTTTGGTTAAGCAACATATTGATTGGTTTGGTTCTTCTTGTTTGAAGCTTGATAAATCTTTATGCATTCAATATTCATCCATTGATGGTTCTTCTTGGTTGGACTGCTTTTCATGTAAGAATTTAAGATCAAACAAGCTTTAAGTACAAACCTTGAGAAGCCATGAGAACTGGATAGAAGAGATCTTAAGCAGTAAGCAAAGGTCTTCCAATCTTTCTACACGCCTTATGCACTCCTAATATGGGGTATGACTTGTATTCTTGAATGTGTATAAGATTGGGGACCTAAACCTTGTTTTTTATAGGTGATTTGACCTAGGTTTCTTGCCCATAAAAGATCACCTAAATCATGCCTTAATCACCTTGTTTGGGCCTAATTTGGCACACCCAGTATAAAGAAATAAAAGGTCATCTTGGTTTTTGGTAGCCACCGACATTCCTTTGAAATTGGGCCAAGAATACACACTCAACCCAAAGCATTGAAGGCTCAAGCCCAAGATCTATCCAAAAGATGGAAACTTGGGCTTCAAAAAGGAAATCAGCCCATAACCTCAAACTGGGCTCGGCATGAATAAAACCAGAAATCAGAAGACAGACCCACGTGACTAATCTGAACCACAACTTTGAAATTGTAAACAATTTCAACTGGGTTAGTAGGGAGTAAATAAAAAAACAGGCAATACAAGAAGGGACTACTCTGAAAAAATCTACCACCAGAAGATCAAACCCTTTCTTATAAAAATAAATTGTTTCTACTCCAGAGAGGGTGATTCTCCCAAGAGATAAGCAGACCATGTTTTCAAAAGGAGATAAGCAGGAGGATAGGAAGTTGTTCAAACTGGAAAATCAAACTAACCATCACGGTTTTTTAGCTCTCACAAAGAGCAGTTGGAAATTAAAAAGAGGGATAGGTTTTTCTTTCAAAAACAGGGAAGTGACTACCATAGGAAATGATTGGTGAGAGCTTATCTACTAGAATTGATAAAATCCTTTTTTTCTTTGTATTTAAAATTGAGAGATCTTTTGAGAAATTTTGCCGCCCATTATTAAAAGAATTGCCCTACTTCAGAAAACACTTCCTATAAATATAAAGGAGGATAAACAGCAAAAAAGGATCAATCAAACAAACAAACAAAAATCACCAAAAGTTCACTTGAACAAAAACAAAAGAAACCAGTTTTAGATCAGAATTCCCAAATTTCAGACTTAGAAAAATAAGTCATTCAAAACGAGATTCCACTCGTTATAATTAGTTGAGCAAAAGCCAAAAACAAGCAGAGCTTGAGTTTTCACAAAAATGAAAATCTCAACAAATATTATACTGCACTTCCAGCTGATTGAGTCCTCAAGACTAGCCATTTCTGCCCCTTCATACTAAAGAAGCAGCAGTTCTGTCCGTTCAAAAGCCTCCCAAAGCTTGAAGTAGATTAAAGCTCTGCCAAAATTGAACTTTGGCATCGATTTACAGCTGAAGCTGAGCAATTGAAGTCGTTAATAGTCCAGTCCAGCACAGACATATTCAGTCCAGCCCTGATCAGAAGCTTCTATCCAGGCAGAAATGGAATTCCAGCCTTCTTTTTATCTTTCTAGAGTTGATTTTTTCCTTCCAAGTCTTGTAAAGGGCAGTTCGGCCTAAAAACAGTCTTCTTTATCATCATTTATTCTGGCCAGAACTACCAATCTTATACTGTGACAAATTGTGAAGTCCTCACCAGTCTGAGGCAAAAAAAGAACGTACTTGGGAGATATTCGTCACCCAAATTCACAATCACTTGTTTAGATATCAGTAACTTGGGGCGCAAGTTATCCATTTTAAAGAGGTCTGCTAGGATTCTCAAGGCTAGCAGTGGCACGCTCACGCACCAAAGAAAGCTGACTTGTTGACCAGTCAATGGTTTCCAAGCCAGTGGGGAATATTTTACCCTTCCTTCACAGGTGCAAAAACGAACGGGTAAACACACCTCTAGAATCCATGACAGAATAGGATAGATATCTCCTTTTATTTTATTCTTTCTTCATCTCCAAGTATTCAACTAATCAAATAAAAACTTTCCACTTTTATTCCATAATAGATTCTGCGCCTTAAATAGATGCAAACTCAGTAAGGGTCTTACATTCTCCCACTTGAGTGCAACATCTATTTAAAACACTTCCTTATTGCCTGAGAATCGATTCCTTATGTGCATAGTTTGGAAAGCTCATTTGATAAGGATATCTATATCAAACTATGAATCAAATTTCATCAACTCATAAGATTGCAGACATGATTCCAAATGATATGGTAGCATCCACCTACAATCACCATAAGCAACAATATCCACATAAGGTACGAACAAGTCATGGTTATGTTCGCATATATCAAAAGTGCTAAACTGTATGAAGTATATCATTCCTGATATATGAATGGTCCACTTTATAACCCCTTAGTGGTTTAACTTTAATGCAGAGCTCCTTAATATTTATAAACAGTCCTCACTCATATTGCAAAAATTCAACAGAATCATAATCAAAATACTCACTCATGTTGTCAAATAACATGAAAGCACAATACCAAAACATTTAAAATAAGAACAATACTGTTGGATTATATCAACTTGTAAGGATGATAATAGGTCCACGTCATTAACTATATAATTTCACTACAAAATTTATTTCAACGACCCGAACTCATATGTTAGGTATGAAAATATCTTCCAATAAAGACGTGCGCAGTGTTAGGCTTTAGTTCATGTGTTTAATGGTAGTTTGCATTTATAAACAAATGCAGAAAATCATATGTATATCTACTATTTATTATACAAATCAACAGGGTTTAGCTCAGTCGAAAACGGCAATGACTTGCAAACCAGAGGT